AAAAAAAAAGAATTTGAAGGGCCTCTTTCAGACTGTCTCTGTTCTCATATTATACCACATGTACAGCCTTATGCAGAACCGAATCCCCTGGTCTCAGCTAGCCAATGGCAGTTCCCCACGACTGAGACTGAACACAGTCTACAAGGCCTAACTTGAGTTTCCCTACCCTCAGAGTTGAACTCCACTCAGTTCTATTACAGGTTTCCCCTGCCCTTTCTTTAAAGATGTTCAAAGTTGGGAGCTCAGAAAACTACCCTTCATGAGAACCTATGCCTCTGCAGAGTTGGTCTAAGGACTAGCCCAATCAGGAGGTTTGAGAACGGGGGGGGGTCGTGGGGGTGTTTCAAGGGCGCCTGCACGGCTACCTTCCTTACTGGGTCTGTTGTCACACAGTCTGGGAGGTCGCGCACCCGCTGTGTGATCTCAGGCAGGCAGGCAGCTGAAGAGACCCCCTCCAGGGTCTTTGGGTCCTTACTGGGTCTGTTGTCGCACAGTCCAGGAGGTCACGCACCCGCCTTGTGATCTCAGGCACGCAGGCAGCTGAAGAGCTGTTTTGTTTTGTTTCTTGAGACACGGTCTCACCATGTAGTCCAGGCTGGCCTTGAACTCATGGGGATTCTCCTGTCTCAGCCTCCTGAGTGCTGGGATTACAGGTGTGCACTACCACACCTGGCTGAAACTGTATTTTAAGTGGTTGTATTTTATGGTGTGTGACTGTATCACAACAAAACTGCTGAAATGGGGGAGAAAGGTAAATATTGTTCCAAAAATCTTTTTTTCAATATGTATTGTGTACTAGGTTGTTTTGTTATTTTTAACTATGGACTATGAGCTAAAACAATTTGGGAAGCACTGGTCCAATCCCACTGACAAGTTGGAACTTTAAGTTTTTCAGTTGAAGTAGTTGATGTAAAGATACACTTTTTGAATCTTAATTTTTGTAAGTCCATGTTTGCAGTGCATAATGATCATGTTCACTGTGGGGAGCTGGTGCATGCACATAACTCATCTTAATTCTTTTTATACCTTTCCCCTCCCCTGCCTCCATCTCTTGGTCCCTTCTCCTTTGCAAAAAAATCATCTGTTTTCCTATTATCTAGCTTTTATTTTGCTCTTTACTTTATTCACGGTATACTTGGGGGAAAATGGATGCAACCTGAGACCACAATGTTAAGTGAAATAAATCAGACACACGAGCTACCCTTTTTGGTGGGCATTCGGGTTTCGAGTTTGAGAAGAAGCTTGTCCCTGGCCAGCACAAGGCTGCCCTGACTCACAACTCTGTCTCCACAGCGAGAGGCCTGTGAAGTCGGCTGCAGCAGTGTGGAAGGTGCCTACGAAGAGGAGGTGTTGGGTGAGGACCACATGTGACCGCTCTACCCTAACTGCTGGTTCTCATGATGGCATAGAGAGCACCTCTTAGCACATCTGCAGAGCCACACCTCAGGAGAGCCAAAACAGATTTATAGAGAGGAAAATTCAGTAATTTGAAAAGCAGAGGTCATTTTGATAAAAGCTCAGCAAGGTTCTTGCAGACAACACAGAGGCGATGTGGCAGTGACTGACAAAGGGTGGGACTTGCCTCAGGGTTCCGGGCCGTGGTCCCTTCTCTCCTAGCGAGAGAACAGTGTGCATCCCAAGCCAACTTGATGCTGGGGTACCACCATTTCCTGGGCCAGAATACAGGAAAATTGTATTTAATGTGCAGTTCACTGCCACGCTAATGTTACCCAACAGAGAGCCTACTATGTGTGTGGCTCCCCACACACACTAGGAGTCGGTGAATGTGGGAGCTGTGCTTCTCAGTGAAGCCTGCGTGGATGTGGCTCTCTCTGTCCGATTTTGAAGGAGGCTGGGTGTGCTGAGTCTTTGCCCCATCAGTGTGTTAATTCTCCTGTGCTTTGATGGGCACAGCCTGAACTTTAGCAGCTATTTTGCAGGATTCTCTCCAGTCTGGGAGATGCTTGGCTCTTCTGTATGATCTAGTCCTTGATCGGTGCTCTTAGTGGCTGATGGAACTCAGAAGGAGGTTGCTGCCTTGCTGTCCCAATTTGTTCTGCTGTTCTTTGTGTGCCTCCCTGACATTTCTGTGGGGAGGCAATGATGCTATCTTTTTCCTTGTGTTGTGATCGTTAGTTGTGGGTAGGCTTTTATTTTGTGGTCGTTATTTTCAAACTGTGTCCTGGAGAACCTTAGAGCATCACAGCAACTGCCCTGGGGACCATGGGCAGTTGGACCACATCTGCTGGATGTTGCCAGGCCTTCTGAGTTGGAGGAGTTCATGACAGAATCAGTAAATCACACTTTAGCTCTTTCTGTGGTGTCTTTGCCTTGCTGGTGTTTTAGTAGTAACAAGCAAGCACCACAAGAAACGACATAGAACAAGGAACAAGGATGGTGCTACCTAATCAATCAGATTGCAAGACTAGAGACTTGTAGTACTCCAGGTGCAAACGGAGGCCTCCAGTATTTTCATTTAAGGGTGAAGTAAATGGCTTTGTCCCTCAATTTATGTGCTACACTTTTAACCATCTATTAAATTGATAGAATATGTATACATTTATTAAATTATCCTACTTAATAGATGGAACTTTTAGTTAATTCTTTTGATCCAAAGAGTTATGAAATAATTACTGAGCAAACAAGAAGGGCAGAATTGCAAAATCTGGAATTGTTGGTTTACATCCTTTGCTTATATTCTAAAATTATATCATCAAGTTAACTGTACAATTCCATTAGAATAGATGTATAATCAAGGCTTTCTCCAGGTTTATCATTGGCTGTGGGTCAATGTCTGTGTACCACTAAGAAATGGGATACAAGTTAGGGCAGTTGAGCTCACAGGCAGGATCTCCCTTGTCGTGATGATAATCTTGCATGGGCCCTGAGGAGCCTGTCTGTCTCTGCACAGCTGGCCATGGTCTATTGATTTGTGGGTCTTCTGTCTTATTCATGTTTAGATACCTCCCACTTACCTTTCTGCATTGTGGGGAATGCAATGGCTGGAATTACATTACATTACATTAAAATAACACTATTTTATTACACACATGAATCAGACACTATTGTCATTGATTTGTAGTTATTAGCTCCCTTTGTCTTCAGAGGTATAAATGTTATAATTAGCCTCATTTGGCAGATGAGAAAATTGAAGCATAGTTTAAATACTTGCTGGGGGCCATAGAATTAGGAGATATAACTGGAGTTGCAATCCAGCTGTCTGGCTACAGAATCTTTTCTCCCCTGTGCTGCTATGCATGATAACAGTGTGCTGTTCAGTCCAGCTTTTCTTTCCCATTAAACTCATGCATGCTTTGATATTTTAGAGTAGACCCACTTTGCCTGTGATGTTCCATATGCATCACCAAGCTTGAGAAAGATATCTATTTTCCTGCACTTGTGTATCTGGTCCTTCTGCCCTGTTCTCAGTAGACGTCATTTCTCTTGCCTCCTGAGTGTTCCTTCCGGTCAGCTGACATTGACCCCTTCTTCAGGGGTCCATGTCCTTTGCCTGTTCCTGCTGCTGAAGGATTTACCATGAAAAGGAGGAAAAGAGGGTCTGTGCTTTGTATTTATGGCCCCCAAATGAACCATGAATAGAAGAATCAGCAGGGAATGATTGTTCTAGACCTCCCCCCCACCGTGATAATGGCTTTGATCTTTCTGGATTACAGAGTATGGAATTTACTTAGTCCATGTAAAGTGTCTTTAGTTATTCCATATAGAGCCCATATAGAGTGATGAGAATCTTGTTGGTTTTCATTTTCCAAGAAATGGAGATCCTGGTAGTTCTATTTTAGCCATTTAAAGCTCCCTCCAAAATCTACCATGCTTTTGCAATCCAAGTAGTGGTTATTTTTTTCTACTAAAGAAAGCCAAAGCATTAAATCCATCACATTTTGGAAAAAGTAAAAAAGATAAAATAAATCGATTTCCTCCTAGTGATATATGTAGTGCAGAAAACTAGCTCTAAATTTCATGCTTTGAAAGTAGCATCCAATAAATGTATGCAACAACCTGTAAGATCTGTAGTGTTCAGAAGTCATGAAATGTCTTACTATAAATAAACAGGAGTGTAAAGTCCTGTACTCATAAAAATAATTTGTTGACAAAATGGGCAATAACAGTGGAATTATAGTGTAAAATCTCAAAATTTATCTTGAGGTATATGTCCTGGGGCAGTTGATGACTCTGTTATAACACAGATACGCTTTGGCACTCTCTTAGTTAATTTTTTTCATTGCTGAGATAAAATACCTGACACTCAAAGTTAAGGGAGGAAAGATTTATTTGGCTCACAGTTTGTGGAGGATTCAGTACACAGTTGGATGACTCCAAGGCAGGATGGCAGGCAGACAGGCATCGCAGAGGAGAAACAGTCCATGGCAGGCAGCAGGTGGCAAAGCAAGCTAGGGGCCTTAGTAGCATCTTTCTACCCCCTTTATACTCTGTCTAGGATGCTGGGATCAGGGCGGTGCCAAACCAATGAGTGGACTGATTTAGTAACCACATCCTTAATCCCAGCATCACACAGTCTAGATTCAACCACCTCTGAAAAAGCCCCTACCTACTGCATGATGCTTTGGGGGGAAATATAAACACAAGTCATAACAGGGACCTATGTCCCTATCCTGTAAGAAAGCCATACCTAAGAAATGCTGGGCAGTGCTGAAATTCTAGTTTGCACACTTGTGGAACAGAGAGAGAGAACAGGTGTACCATGGGTTGCTCAGGTGGCCGCTGTAGCAGGAGGATGCTGAGAGCCCTATAGGAAGCAGGCACATGCTCTTCTGCTTCGGTGGACAGAGTGTGTGGTGAGTGAAACCTTGTTTTCTCCCCAGAAAACACAAATCTCCCTACTGCACCATTTGCTTCTTCCATTGGAAGCCATAGTGTGACTTTACGGTGGAAATCTGCCAATATCTCTGAAGTGAAATACATCGTTCAGTGGAAATATGCACAACTCCCAGGAAGATGGACTTACACTGAGGTGAGAAAGGCCGCTTTTGTATCTAAACAAAGACTCCCCACTCTGAATTATTTCAAGTACCCAAATACTACATAAAATAATAATAGTCCCCCTTATCTGTTGTCAACCATAGAGCATTTAATGGAAAAATTCAGAAAAAACAGACAATTCATTATATTGCTTTCTTCTCTCTCTCTCTCTCTCTCTCTCTCTCTCTCTTTCTTTCTGTACTGGGGATCAAACGTGTACTGGGGCCCTTGTGCTTGCGAGGCAGGCCATGGAACCATTGAGCCAAACCCCTGGCCCTGCTTTCTGTTTTGAGTAGCATGATATAATTTCTCATCACATCACTCTGTCTTACTGGGGTATGAATCATTCCTTTGTCTGGCATTCCACATGGTATATGCTACCCACCTGTTAGTCACTTCATAGTCACCTCAGTGTTCAGATCAACTGTCACAGTATTAGTGTCAAAGTCCCTATATATAGGATTAAGTGCTATCTGAGGGTTCAGAGATCAACCAAAAGTCTTGAAATGTATCCTCAAGAAGAAGGACAGTGAAATTGAAAGTGTAATTAAAAATTTACCAACAAAGAAAAGCCCAGGTCCTAATGGCTTCACTGCTGAATTCTACAAAACATTTAGAGAACACTATTATCACTACTTTTGAAACTTTTCTGTGAAATTGAAAGGGAAGCAATAAGTCCAAATTCATTCCGAGAAGCAAGTATTACTTTGATTCCAAAACCAGGAAAAGACCTAACCAAGAAAGAGAATTACAGGCCAATCTCACTAATGAACATAGATGCAAAACTCCTCATTAAGATACTGGTAAACAGAATATAGAGGATCATCAAACTGATCATACCCTTAACCAAGCTGGATTCATCCCAGAGATGCAAGGATGATTCAATATACATAAATCAATAAATGTAGTGCACTATATTACAGAATCAAAGAAAAAAAACATGATCATCTCAATAGATGCAGAAAAAGCATTTGACAAAATTAAGCACCCATTCATAATAAAAACCCTGCATAAAATTGGAGTAGATGGTCTTTATCACAATTTGATAAAGACTATCTATGAAAAACCAACAGCCAACATCATACTAAATGGTCAAAAACTCAAATTTAGGAACAAGACAAGGATGTCCACTATCACCACCCTTGTTCAATATAGTTTTGGAAACAGCCACAGCAATTAGACAAGAGAAAAAAATAAAAGCAATAAAGATAGGAAAGGAGGAAGTTAAACTGTCATTATTTGCTGATGACATGATACTATACATAGAAGACCCAAAACACTCCACCAGAAGACTTCTAGACTTCAGTAGAGTAGCTGGATACAAAAATCAATAACCTTCTTATACACAAATAATAGAATCTCTGTGAGAGAAATTAGGGAAACAGTCCCTTTCACAATAGCATCCCTCCAAAAAATGAAGTATCTACAAATCAATCTAATGAGACCTGGCAGGGGTATCACAATCCCCAACTTGAAACTATACTACAAAGCCACTGTGATAAAAATAGCATGGTATTGGCAAAGAAACAGACCTGAGGATCAGTGGAATAGATTAGAAAATGCAGAAACAACTCCTGACATACTCAGCTACCTCTTCTTTGACAAAGGAACCAACTATCCCCACTGGAGGAAAGCTAGCCTGTTTAATAAATGGTGTTGGAAACTGGCTTTCAACTTGCCAAAGATTAAAACTAGATGCCTATTTTTCACCATGCACTAAACTAAAATCCAGGTGGATTAAAGATCTCAATATTAAAACAGAAACACTAAACTTGCTGGAAGATAAGTTAGGTAGAACTATTGAAGACATTGGCATAGGAAGAGACTTTATGAACAAAACCTCCGCTGCATGTGAATTACCACAAAGAATTAACAATTGGGATCTCATATTATTAAAAAGCTTTTGCAATGCAAGAGAAACCATGAACAGAGTGAAGAGACAATCTATAATGTGGGAAAAAAATTTTTACCAGCTGTTCCTCAGACAAAGGTCTACTATTTAGATTATGTGAAGAACTTAAAAAAAATCAGGCCTCCTAATTTAAAGACCCAATTCACAAATAGCCCTCTGAAATAAACAGATATTTCACAGATGAAGAACTAGAAACAGCAAATAAACATATAAAAAATGCTCCACATCACTGGTCATCCAAGAGATGCAGATGAAAACAATGCTGAGATTCTCCCTCACTCCAGAAAGAATGGCTGCTGTCAAGAAATGAACCCATAACAAATATTAGCAGGTTGTAGGGAGAAAGGGACCCTTCATTGCTGGTGAGAGTGCAGACTGTTGCAACTACTGTGGAAATAAATATGGAGATACCTTAAACAACTAGCATTAGAAGTCCCATTTGACCCAGCTATTTCCCTGCTGGGTGTCTTCCCAAAAGAATTAAAAGAATTGTACCACAGAGATATATGCTCACCCATGTTTATAGCAGTGCAGTTTATAATAGCTAAAGTAGCTCAAAACAGCCTAAGTCCCCATCAGTTGGAGACTGTATAAAGAAGATGTGTGTTTTTTTAAATAAATAAAATGGAATACTATTCATCTGTAAAGAATGAGAAACTAGAGAGATTTGTAGCTAAGTGTATGCACGTTGAGGACATACTCTTATGTGAAATTAATAGGATACACATGTAAATACTGAATAGTTTCTCTGGTGTGATAAACTAAAAGTGTAAATAAGATAAAATATATAATTTATACTGTGTAATAGGAAAAAATGTGTAGGGTAAGGGGGAGGAGTGGGGGAAGGGTATGAAGGGAAAAGAAAAAATAAGAGAAAAGGAAAAAAATGGAAACAAAGTCTTTGTAAATAGGAAAGGGTGGAGGGGATGAAGGGAGGCCAGGGGAATGGGGAAAATATAAGAACCAAGACCTGTCATGTAAAGGTACAAGATCCCAATGATGAATGTAACTGTACTGTGTACCTAAAATGTACCAATAAAGAAGAAAAAAATAAATATTTCATATTTTCTTATAAAAAAAGAATAAGGAGAGACTATTTAAAATGATGAATGCATTCTGGAAAATATTCAAGCATAAGTATTTGAATTTGATAAACTTTTATTTTTGCTTACTCTATAAACTTTATTTTATGAGGAAAATAAATTAATGGCCACACACACACTTTTTCCAGTGCAGAGTCACAGACCTTTTTGTCTCATTTGTTATTACCCTCCCCAGTGATTCCAAGTGGATAAAGAGGAGCAGAAGAAAGATTCTCACAGAGCTTCTTTCTGTTTAGAAGGACATCTGGTGTGGTTGTGGTTTGTCCCTTTCCAGAAAGCATGAGCAAGTTTAGGAAAAAAGAAAAAAGTCCCAAGTCATCAAGATCACTAACAGAAAAATGTCAGTGAATCCTAGCAATATGTGTCAGATAATTGAATCCATAATTCGACTATTTTTGAAGAATGAGAGAAGTTATGTGCGACCTGTGCAGACAATGTCTGGGGAGCCGGGCCTCTCCCTCCTCTGGCAGGATCTGGGGCCCAGCACAGCGGGGTTTCCGTCGTGTGTCAGTCATGGGCTCTTGGGCCGAGCAGTCCAACAGATGATGACTGTGGATTTCACATTCTGCAGGCCGTATCCAAGCTCTCCTACATGGTGCGGGACCTGCACCCCTTCACAGAATACGTTTTTCGAGTGGTTTGGATCTTCACAGCTCAGTTGCAGCGTTCTTCTCCTACAAGCCCAAGTTACAGGACTCATCCTCATGGAGGTATGGCATGTACTCGCTGCTTTTGCAACACAGACATTGTTCCAGAGTCTGTTTTAATTGATCTATTCAACAGTCAGGTACCTAATTATATGTCAAGTCATGTTCACAATACCGAACAATAAGCCCTGTCCTTATGGAGCTCTGGCTTTGCTGGAAAATATGTTTTGTGCAATAAACATAACAAGTAAGGAAAGACTTGGTAAGTGGCATGGTGCTGTTTGCTGGGTGAGATGAACATTCTGAGCAAGGTTTATGCTTTAGGGGATCAGAAATGGGAGTGTAGAGGGAGAGCTGATGCAGTATTAAATGAGGTGAATGAAGAAGCCTACTGAGAGGGTGAGATGAAGTTGGAGCAAGACATGAGAAGTCGGCCACACAGATCTGAGATACAGTGTATGTGGGGTGGCTGTGCAGAGGCCCCAGGGAAGGAGCATCCCTGGCCTGTCCAAAGGACAGCACAGGGGCTTGATCAGAGGGAGGGAAGGAGGTGGGGGACAGGAAGGTGGGAGGTCACAGTTGGCCTCAGAGGCCTTTGTGAACTGTAGAGGGAGAATCACTACAAGGTTTGAACAGAAATTTTGTCATTGGGTGGGGTCCAAGGAAGCTCTACACAAGAAGGAGATGGGAACATTAATTCACTCAACCACCAAATAGTGGTAGGTTCACTGGCTTCCATCACAGGAAAGCATTTCAGGATGTGTCAGTAAGGCATGGGCAGGCTTGTTAGGTCAGAAGTGTGTGTGTGTGTGTGTGTGTGTGTGTGTGTGTGTGTGTGTCCTGGGATGCACTGCAGTCTGGAGCTGGGGTTTTTATATAGTCTTGGGGGTATCCTTAAGGTGAGCAATCTAGGACATGTATCTAGGAGGTCCGTGGGTCATCTATTTGATGGGCTGGATCAGAACATTTCGTGTAGAGAGTTGCTGCAACTTCCTAGTGCTACTTCCTCGAAGACACACTCTGAGGGTGAAGCAGGCCCAGTTCAGAGGGTAAACATGGGCCAGTTTACAGAATTATTATTGTGTCTTTAAGATCGTTAGGGATTTTTTAAGGGCAGTGGGTTCCTGGAAAGGAAAAAGGCATTGTAAACACAGGTAACTTTGTGACTTGAAGCTGTGGGTTTTCTTAAAAGTACTTGCATCATTCTTGTTTGTACCTGTCTTTATTTCTTGTATTCTACCTCAGTCTAATGCAACCCATCTTGCATGCTGAAAGGATCTTGCTGGCTGCGGTGTGGAGATGAACTGTGGGCTGTGGGTAGGTGTGGGGAGACCCAGATGACAAACAGGAGAGGAAGTGGTGTGGCCAGAAGAGTGTGACTTCTTTATCTATTGAGATTTGTTTTAGTCATTTTGCCACCTAGGTTATGAACTTCTTTGGCTGTGCCAGTGAAATTTGTGAAGGGATCCAGCTCCTTTTTTTTTTTTCTTTTTTTCTGGAAAGGTGGTTATTTTTATACTATATTTTTTAATACCATCAAAGATTGGGCCAGCGCTTTTATTTTCATTCACTCCACAAGTAGGCTTTAAGCACCTATTACGTACCAGGCATTGCTCGAGGGACCAGAGGTGGTAAGGCCTTAACCCTCGTGGAGCTTATATTCCCTCTGGGGGACACTGGCAAAGAATATGTAAAACCCACTAAAGGGAGGGCAGGGTCTGCAGGTGGACGTTGTTGCCTCTGGCTGATTTTCTTCAGACGGAAGGTTGAGGAGACGGAAGCATTTCCTTGTGGACCCCCGAAGTATTACCTCTACCTGATGACGAATCATGGAACAGTGGCTGCTGCTCCCACACAGATACTCAGCTTTCTCGCTGAGGAGAGAGATAGAGGCGTTTATACAGCTTCCCAGGTAGATGTGGCCTGAAGGAAAAGAAAGTGGTTCATTGAAAAGGGTAGTGTAATTCCACAGAGAAGAAGGGCTAAGGTGAAATGTGGAGGAGGACAGATGACACACAGTGTCTGAGGCGGGGCCCACTTCGGACGAGGACTGGTCAGGAAGGCTACCAGCTGGCGCCATCAAGCGATACAGGAAGAGAAATAGCAGGAGTCCTGGGGGAAGGAGCCCGGGTCCAGGGGTCAGCTACTGAGAGTTTTGAGAGCTAGGCTTGTAGTTCAGACTTCACTTAAAGATCAGTTCAGAACTCTGGAAAGCTTTAACGCAGAGGAGTAAGGGCTTACCATAGTCTGTAAGAAGAGGAGCTTGGCAACCGCACATAGCGTCAGTTGAGGGAATGAGAGGGTTTGGAAAGTGCAGAGGCATTTTGTCAGAGACGAGATTTTAAAAATTACATTTATTGGAGAATTTCCCGATCTCTTGTTTTGAAGATGTGACACCTTCACCAAGGAAAGGACACAAACTGAGAAGTCCCACAGGAAGTTGGATGCAGGGAGCGGCTGTCTGTGTCTCCACCATCGGAGTCATCTAGGTGGCCCTGGTACCTGGCTGCAGGCTAGCTGGGTGCCCTGCCTCTCGTCCTGGAGAGGTGGTCATATCCAGAGAACCTCCAGTTAACGGGGCCTTTGATCTTGATGAAGTTGGTTGGGAAGTTTCCCCTTTTCCCTGAGAAGTACGCTTTCCTTGCTTATTAAGGCTCAGGGTTTGTGACTACTTCTGATTATTCTCTGATTATCTGTGCTTAGGCCCTAGCTCAGGACCATGTTTAAAATATTCCAAGCAAGAGTAGAATACATGGATCCTTCCTTGTTCCAAGCAGTACTTCAACAGTGCTGGGACATTTTAGATCTTTGGGGGTTTTTTTTGGACTGGGGATCGAATTTGGGACCTTGCACGAGGCAGGCGGCAGAACCCCTGAGCTAAATCCCCAGCCCTGGAACAATTTTATAGTAATAATGAAATGCCATGGTCCAGTACCCTCTCCTGGTCAGATCAAAGTCATGAAGAAGACAATCCTGCTTCTAGTTCTGGGCCTTTCTGCTAGATATTCAAGGCACAACTTTTCCATGGATGGACTGTCATGTTCCAGATTCTCCCTCCCTTTAGCCACCACTGGAAACTTACCTGTTGTGCATTTATTATCTTTAGTCCTATTCGCTAATATCTGTGAGAATTATGATTCCTTTTAACTGGAAACTTTCAGAAGATAATTTCTTTATTTTTGTTTTTATTTTTTTCAGAAGATAATTTCTTAACCAAGAGTAGTGGTGGCTTCACAAGGAATACCAGCCTTTGGGGGAAGACTTTTTTTTTTGTTGGAGACATTTTGACAATAAAAACATCTTTCCATGGAGGTGGCATTTGGCTTGCTTGAAGTGGGGCAGAACGTGATGGATGTTGACTCTAGAGTGAGGCTTGGACATCATGATTCTAGTGGAACTGGAGGTCATTCTTCTTTTCCTGTTCAGAAAGGTAGCTGAGTAATGGAACACAGGAGTGACACACAGTTGTGGTGTTTACCAAGGGTTAGTCTGGGAGTTTGGGATGGGCTGTCCTGGAGAAAGGCTGAGGGCCTCGTGAAGGGGCCTTTCAGAGACGTTGGTATGAATGCTGAGCTGTGTCACTTCTCCCAGCTCCAAGGAGCCAGAGGAGATGCACATCATTTTCAACAGTGCTAAGAAGAAAGACCAAAATGCTATCAGAGCATGATTTTCTATGGAAGCAGAAAACAAGAATATGATTTCAGGGAGCCAAGGTGTGAAAAAGGGGTGGACACGTGGTGGAAGATAAGCTGCCATGTCCGCGGCCCATCTGGTGTCGGAGTGAGTGCTCTTTAACTCAACTCCTTTGCTCTCTGCAAGAGTTAGGGTGGGGCACAGCCTGCTGATGCCCACTCAGGTGTGTGGGACAGATAGAGCCTGGCTGAGTAGAGCTGACGACAAATAGGGAAGTAGGCATTCCACCTCCACCTTCTCCAAAGCCACCTCTTTGCTTGGGACCATCAGGCCCCTGGGCAGTGAGTGCGCAGGCCTCAGCTTCCCTTGTGTAGCTCCTGTTAATCAGTCTCTTTTCCTTCCTAACCTGGTTCCATCCCTTGACTCAATTCATTTCGGTCTCCATAGAGCTTTGAGGAATCTTTTCTTTTTCAGGAATATTAACTCATTTATAAATTTTGAAATTAATTTTATTCCATGAATAAGAAGTGAGCAAATTAGAACTGGTATAATTTAATAATCAAGAATTGCAACTCAGAAATTCTTACTATTGCTCATCACATTTTTGATTATTCTATGTGTTAATTATTTTTAAAGATCAAGAGTTTTCTTTATTTTTAAAACATAAACTCTGTTCATTTTTATATGCACCACATCCTCATTATCTCTTTCAGTTCCTCAAACTGCACCTTTTATTCGGAATATTGAGAGCTCTGGCCCTGACACTGTGGAGGTCAGTTGGACTCCACCCCAATTCCCAGGTGGACCTATTCTGGGTTACAATTTAAGGCTGATCAGCAAAAATAATAAATTCGATTCAGGGACGCAGAGAACCAGTTTCCAGTTTTATTCTACTCTTCCAAATACCACCTACAGGTAAGAATTAAATGGTGCAAAGGAATATGTAGCCAGAATAGCTGCAGACATAATTTAAAATACTTAAAAATATGGCTTAAGAAGTATTTTAAGATGTTTCACTGACTCTCAGCTATTGGGTTAGAACTAGTTTTTCTCAAGTTTCTGTGTATGTAGAATTTAAGCAGTAATATCTTCAAGTGCTACTATATTCAGTATATCTTTAATAAATTAAGAACGAATAAAGACATCATAATCACTAGGAATGTGGTTTTCTCACTTGATCCAACCTGAAAAGGTGAGAAGCTTAAGCTCTTGTCAGTGGCATTTTTATGAAGCATTGGGATTATTTTATTACTGTCAGTCTCTAGAATTCACCAAAGCCTCTTTGAATTAGGGGAGGCCTGGGGGTCATGCTGATAGCACAGTTCAGGTATTGACCCCTGTGACCCGAACTGTCCTATGGGGAATGTAAACGAGGTTGTGACTGATGGTCGTTTTAGTGCTGGCAGGAACACTGAGGAATTAGATGAGTGCGTTGCCACATCATCCTTTAATAGAAACCTTATTGCTACTTCTGTTGTTACCCCATGCTCACACCATGTCATGTGAAACACATCTCTTTAACTTGTTTTTGGAATAGGTTTTTTGTTGCAGCAGTAAATGAAGTTGGTGAGGGGCCAGAAGCGGAATCTAGCATCACCACCTCATCCCTAGCAGGTACGGCCAGGGCTGCTCCTCTGTTTAATGCTCATATGTGTTTGCAGTGCGCGGCAGTCACACTCGTCTTGGAGAACTGGTGCACACACGCCGAGTCGTGGCCAGGCTCACCTTCCCTTCTCCCCTGCCGTCTCCCCTCCCCCTTCCTTGGTCTCTTTCCCATCTCCACAGTCTTGCTCTCTTTCATTTTGCTCTTTCAATTATTTAAATTTTGGGTGTCTCATATGAGATAAACTATGGGTTAGCTATCCTTCCATATCTGATTTATTTAAATTAGTATTGTGGTCCCAAGATCAATCTATATTTGCATAAATAACTCAAATGCATCCTTCTTTATAGTAGAATAATACTGCATGGTGTATAAATACCACGTTTTCTTTTCTTTACTAAAAATTGAGTTTACTGGTACATTCTAGGTAGACAGTACAGTTACATTCATTACTGGGATCTTGTGGATTTACATGACAGGTTTTGGTTCTCATTTTTTCCCCTTGTCCCCGCCCTCCCTTTGGCCCCTCCTCCCCTCCCCACCTACAAACGCTTTAATTCCATGTTTACATTTTCTCACATTTTTTCCCTTTCCCTTATTCCCCTTCCCCTACCCTTCTCACTGTCCCTACACCTTTAGGCCTTTAGTTCTTTATACATTCTATATGTTAATTCTCTGTCTGAGGGATAACTGACAATTTTTTCCCATTCTATAGGTTGTCTTTTCACCCTGTTGGTTATTTTCTTTGCTGTGCAGAGGCTTTTAAATTTTATGTAATCGTATTTGTTGATTGTTGGTATTACTCTATTTCTTGTGCAATTGGGATTGTAGTAAGAAAGTCCTTGCCTATACCTATGCCTTCAAGAATTTTACCTATTTTTTCCTCTGTCAGATTAACTGTTTCTGTTTTTATATTGAGGTCTTTGATCCATTTTATTCTGGTTTTAGTACAGTGAGATAGGGATGATTCATTCTTCATGTGGATAACTGGTTCTCCCAGTATCCCTTGTTAAAGATGCTATCTTTTCTTGAGGGTATGTTTTTTTAGTCTTTTTGTCAAAAATACGATGGCTGAAGCCTCATAGGGTTTGTTTGTTTTTTTTTTTTGTATCTTTGATTCTATTCAATTGGATAGTGTGTCTGTTTTTGTGCCAGTACCATGCTGTTTTTATTACGGAAGTTTGTAGTATTACTTGAAACCTACAGTTGTAATATCCTCTGCTTTGTTCTTTTCACTCAGGATTGCTTTGGGCTATTTTGGTTCTCTTCTTATTTCATATATATTTTAGGATTGTTTTTTCTAGTCCTGTGAAGAGTGCTGTTGGCATTTTGATTGGAATTGCATTAAATCTATGTATGTATTATTTTTGGTAGTAAGGCTATTTTGATAATATTGGTTCTACCTAACCAGGAACAAGAAATGTGTTTCCATTTTCTAAGGTCTTCAATTTCTTTTTGTTTCAGAGTACTATAAATTTTGCTACAGAAGTGTTTCACTTCCTTTATTAGGGTAATTCCTAGGTATTTAATTGTTTTGAAGCTACTGTTAATAGAATTGTTTTCCCAGTTTAGTTTGTCGGTGGGGGTAGGGATGTCGCTCAGTGCTCAGCAGCACAGTGCCCACCTGGCAAACGCTAGGCCCTAACTTTGATTTCCATTACCCACCAAAGTTGCCACCTGACAATTTGTCTGTGGGTTTGTTGTTAGCGTACAGGAATGCTATTGATATTTGTGTTTTGATTTTGTATCCTACTACTTTGCTGAATTTGCTTATTCTAAGAGATTTCTGGTGGGATTTTTTCGGTCTTGTATGTAAAGGATTATATAATCTGCAAAAAATGATAGTTTACCTTTTTTTATTCCTATTCATAGTCCTTTTGTTTCTTTCTCTTTCCTGATTTTTCTGGATGAAGTTTCAAGTACCAGTCACTTCTCGGCCTTTTGGCTAAGATCAAGTGTAAAGTTTCAAGTGCCAACTTGAACAGGAATGATGACATTGGACAGCCTTGTCTTCTGGATTTTAGAGGATTTTTTCAGCTTTTCCCCATTTGGTATGATGTTGAGACTGGTTTGTCAGAAATGGCTTTCATTAGATTGAGATAAGAAGAAATACACCTATTTTCTTCAGGGCTTTTGTCATGAATGATGTTGGATTTTGTCAAAGGCCTTTTCTCCTTCAATTGAAATGATCATGTGATTTTTATCTTTGCTCCTGTTTATGTGGTGTATTATATTTCTTGATTTATGTAATTGAACAATTCTAACATCCTTAGAAGACAACTTGGTCTGGATATATAACTTCTTAATGATTTCTTGTATTCTATTTGCAGATACTTGTTGAGGATTTTTGCATCTGCTTTCATTAAGGAAATTGGCCTGTAATTTTCTTTTTTTTTGTTGAGTACCTGTCCGGGTCATGCTAGCTTCAAAGCATGAGTTTGGCAGTGCTTCTTTCCTTTCATTTTCATGGAAAGGTTTGAAGAGGATTGGTGTTATTTCTTCCTTGGAGTTTGGTGGATCTATGGGTTCCTGGGCTTTTCTTAGTTGGTAGGGTTTTTATTACTACCTCTATTTCATTGCTTGTTATTTTTCTGTTAAGAAAAAATATTTTTGTATTTTCTGGCTCAGTTTTGATTATCCATATGTGTCTAGGAATTTACCCATTTCTTCTAAATTCTCCAACTTATTGAAATACAAAAGTTTTCAAAATATTTTCTTAGAATCATTTGGATTTTGGCAGTGCCCATTGTGATTTTACCCTTTTCACTTGTAATTGCATTGGCATGAGTCTTCTCTTTCTTTCATTTGGTAAGTTTTGCAAAGGGTTTGTCAATATTGTCCATACTTTCAAAGAACCGATTCTCTGATTCAATGATCCTTTATATTATTTCTTAGTGTTAATTTTATTAATTTCTGCTCTAATCTTTTTAATGAATTACCTTTTACAAGTTTTTAATTTGTGTTTTTAAATTTTCTTTTATTGGTACATTTTAGGCATACAGTACAGTTACACTCATCATTGGGACCTTGTACCTTTACATGATGTACCTTGGTTCTTGTTTTTCCCCCCATTCCCCTGGCTTCCCTTCATCCCCTTCACCCTTCCCTATTTACAAAGACTTTGTTTCCATTTTTTTCCTTTTCTCTTATTTTTTCTTTTCCCTTCTTTCCTTTACCTTACACCTCCCATTTAAAAATTTTTAATTTGGATTGCTCTTTTTTTTCTAGTATCTTGGATGTATCATTAGGTTATTTATTTTGGATTGTTCTGTTTTTTAAAGTATGGAAAGTTACAGCTATAACGTCCTCTTAGAATTATTTTCATTATGTCCCATAGGTTTTAGAATGTTGTGCTTACATTATCATTTGATTCTAGGAACCTTTTAATTTCTTCTCTGATCCACTGATTATTCAAAAATATGTTATTTAATCTCCATGTGTTTGCATTATTTCTGTGGTTTCTTTTGGTGTTGATTTCTAGTTTCATTCCTTTATGATCTGGTAATATGAAAGAGATTATTTCAGTTTTTTTGTATTTATTTAAGCTTGCTTTATGGCCTAAGACATGATCTGTTTTGGACAAAGTTCTTTGTGCAGCTGAGAAAAACATGTATGGTATTGTTGGATGTAACACTCTTAGATATCTTTAAGTTAATTTGTCCAATCGTATGGTTGAACTTTGGTATTTCCTTGTTGATTTTTTTGTCTGGTTGACCTCTTTGTGAGACTGGGATATTGAAGTCTCCTGCTAGGAGTGTTTTTTTGTCTGTCCTTTTATGTTCAGTAGTTTTGTTTTTGTTTTATGAAATAGGGTGCAAATACATATATATGTGCATATATATTTGTCTCTTTCTGTTGAATTGTTCCCTTTACCAATATATAGTGACCTTTTTTTCCTCTGATCAATTTGGCTTAAAGTTCACTGTTTCTGAAAATAGCAGCTGCTCCTGCTTGCTCTTGAGCTGATGTGGAGTATCATTTTTCCATTATTTTAATTTCAGTTTATGTGCTCCTATGATGATGAGGTGTGTCTCTTGCCACCACTGTATGGTGGGGATTTGATCCAATCTGCCAGTGTGTGTCTTTTGATTGGCGAGTTAAGATCATGAACAGTGAGTGTTGTTAGTGAAAAGCATATAATAATTACTGACATTGCATTATTTTTGCAGTGCTAGTTTCTTTTTTTCCTTTTGTTTATTCTCTCAGTTAGGTTTATTCTTTCCTTTGGGCTTTTTGGTGATGTTGGCCTAGCTGTTTCTAGGATCCTTTAAGTGCTTTTTGCATTTCTGGTTTGGTGGTAATAAATTTCTTTGTTATGGAGTGTTTATTTCTTCATCACATTTGAAGGGTACTATTGTAGGGCATAGTAATTTAAATTGGCAGTTGTTTTCTTTTAGGGTTTGAAAACTTTGCTCCAAGCTTTCTTGGCCTTTAAGTGATTGTTTATGTTGTTGTTTTATTTGTTTGTTTTTTTGAGAAATGTGATATTATTCAGATAGGCCTGCTGTGATAGATTACTTGATGTTATTCTGCAACAGCTTTCATTATTCTGTCTTTGTTCTGAAGGTCTGGGATTTGATTATAATGTGCCATGGAGAGGTTCTTTTCTGGTTCTAGCTATTTGGGGTTATATATGCTTCATTTATCTGGCTTTTTATTTCTTTTCATAGGCTTGGAAAATTTTCTATTATGATATCAGTGCATACTTTTAAAAATCTTTGATGTCATTTTCTAACTTTTCTCCAACTTCAGTAATTCTCAGGTTGGTTTTTTGAGTTATTTAGCAGATGTTAGATCCAGTTTTCATCAAATCTTGTTTTTAGGATTTCACTGAGTATGTGACCTACTACATTAACCTTGTCCAGGTTCTGATAGTCTCCCCTTAGAATAGTCACTCTCGTTGCCCATACTTTCAATTGAATTTTCATATCAGGATTTCTGCTTGATTCCTTTTTATAATCTGCAATTCTTTACTAAAGTGGTTATTCACATTGTACATTGTCTTTATTTCAATCAATTTTTGTTTTTTCTTTAAGCTTGTTAAATATTTTAATGAGATGCTTTATGTTTAAGAGCACTGAGGTTCTTATAAATTTATTAGTTTTTCTTTGATCTCTTCAAACATATTAACCGTTTGGTTTTTTGAGTTCCGTGTAAAAAACTTCCTACATTTCAGTGTCCATGAGACTAGCTCTTTGCAGGGGAGGGATTTTGTTGCTTGTTTTCCATATTTCTCATTTTTGTGCTGAGGGTTAAAGATCAGTTAGGGCAGAAAATTCACTACTGTGGAGATTCCCTTAGTTAGTGTATTTCATCCTGTGATATGGCATTAGTTTTGATTACATTCTGGTGATTATGCATCTGTACAACCAACTCAACATAATAGGATCCATCCATTGCTTTGTAAGGAAAGAACAACCACCAGTTACATCCACATCTGTAGAACCAATCATATGATTTAAAACTTAACAAATTCATGCTTTTTTTTTTAATAACCCAGGCACACAGTGCCATAATACTGATGACAAGTGTGCTGGGATACTTGGGATCAGTGAAGGAGAAATTTAGAAAAAAATCAAGAAAATTATTCAGAAAGCAGAAAAGAAGAAAATGGAGATAATAGAATATGAAAGGAAGGAAAGAGATAGGACTCTGGTGATATTTTTATGTTAGGGATGGAGGGAGAAAAGGTTATTTGAGAAGTCATTTGCAAGGGTGGAGCAAAAGAAGAGAGGAGGAAGTAGAACTGGGTATTAGGAGAAGCTGTAAGGAGGTCAAAACCAGATATGCTGGTGGGAAGCTTGCGCTGGAAGCCAACGTACATTTTTTTTTTTTTTTTTTGTGTGGGAACCTGACATGACCATGAAAGAACTATCTAAACTAAAGCACTTATTCCTAGTCTCCATTTTGCATATACAAACATTTTATACACACACACAGAGAAAAAAGAAAAACACTCCACACACATACAAAGACACAAAACTAAAGAATCCCCTCAGTCCTATCTCTACTTCAGTCTGAATTCATTCAACCACTGTGCTCTTCACCCTTAGTTAAAAAACGCAGAGATCTGTTTATGAAGCAGTTGTGGGGCTAAGCTCCTGCCCTCTGTAGTTGTGGTTAGGAGACTGGTTATTCAGCTTGTCCCTCTCCTATAGTTTACTCTCTTGCTTACCAGTGAGAGAAGCTGGGTGTCTGAGTGGACAGCTGAGCATTCCTTCTGCAAGCAGAGCTCTGCCAGGCTTCATCTGCTCTCTGGTGGGCACGACTGGTCAATCATCTGGTCTTCTGTTGATAATCTACAGGGACTTCCTCCTTTTCTATCTCCTTCCCTTCATGCTAATCCCACAGGGGGTGACTAAGTTAGGATCAGTGAACCTTATGGACAGAAAGGAATAAGGATATAATCCTGGTTAGTCATCTGGAACCAATCCTTAAGGGATCTATGGGACAGTGAGTTTCAGGGGTACACAGCAGCTGTGACTGGTATGATCTGTAGTAGAAAAAAGACATTGGAGTGGGGCCAGAGTGGTCACTCTCCCACAGCTCCCTAAAAGACAAACTCTTTTCCTGTGTGGGATTCCACCTTCCACTGAGCTCAGCAAGTGTGAAGGATCCATCCCATTGCTCACCAAAAGCTGCTGAGCTCAGTGCCCTTGCTAGCTCCCTTTCATGGGCCCTCCAAAACTACTGAAGGCCAAGGGCTGGATAGACTGTTGAAGAAGCCCATAAAGAGATTCTGGAGCAGGCAGAGCTGGAGAGGGTGGTGGGGTCAGAAGGTGTTGCACAGGGCACTAATCTAGACAGGCATAGAAAGGGCAGACAGAGGAAATTTGCTCCTCTGCTCTACAGGAATGAAAAGCAAAAAAAGTGGATCTGAGCGAAGAAACCTTGGGTCATCTGGTAGACCTCAAGATCCTATCTCTTCTACCCAATGGATGTTGTCTTTTGGGTACTGGATAAATGTTTTATTTTGAAGTGAACCTAAGTACCTGACAAATTGAAATGTGTAGGTTGAGAGTTTTCACATTAGAATTTCGGAATTGAAAAAATAGAGTGAAAAAATTTAAAGATTTAAAAAATATCTCTAGGTCTGGGGATTTAGCTCAGCGGTTCGGTGGCCTGCCTTGCAAGTGCAAGGACCTGAGTTCAATCCCTGGTACCCCCCGCCAAAAAAAATCTTTAAAATCTTATTTTCAGTTTAATTCTGTAGTGTTGTGACTTACATTTACACATTATGCATTACACTAAGCCTTTTTGTCCCAAACCCCATTTTACATTATGTATTGTCCTATTAGACATATTTGTCCCAGTCTTCTTCATGTTTTTAAGTATATATGGATTTTAATAATTTCCATTTTGAATATTTAATCTGTCAAATTATATTTTTATTACTTTGTACGTACCCTCTTTTTAGGGTTACTTTTAATAATTGTTTTGAGTGGTTGAATACTTACTGTATCATTCCTATTTGGGCAAGGTAATAAATGAAAGGCTTTTTAAGGAGCACTAGACATTTTTGGGGGGGAGGAAACTAGTAAAAGAGTTTTGAATAATACTCAAGTGCTCAGGATTCCAAGAGTCTGTTTTCTGTTTTCACCAGAAATTTGTTGACTTGACACTGCCCCTTCTCTCTTACTTGCCCAAGTTTATGCTAGTGGGTATTGAATACTGTTCAACACCAAACTTTAGGGTGTTTTTGGCTGTTCCTACCCTTTGGGAAAGAGAATATTTTTGTTATACAAGAGGGATGTCCAAAGGGAAAGTTAAATATACAGCAGGGGTAAGGCTATGATGTGATTATTGCCTGCCATTTTTTTATTGCTATCAGACTGTCCATCACCTGCTTTGGTCTCCAGCTGAACAGGATGAGATTTCATCCTTCTAAGAACATTTCTTCTGCTTCAAAGGGATAGATGTTGAAGACAGTACAGAGACCATCAGTGTGCGTGTGTGTGTGTGTGTGTGTGTGTGTGTGTGTGTGTGTGTGCTTGCACATGTATGCCTAGCTTCTGGCCAGGGCTGGACCACATCCATCCAGTAGATTCTCAAGGTTGGGCTAACTTATTGACTGATGTGCTTCTGGAGGAAGGATACTTAGGTGCACACACACAAGTGTTGCTTGATGGCTACTGTACTCTGCCCCCACCCCATTATGGAATAATGTGTGTTATATCACACCTGAAGTGCCTCAGTTTCTCCAGAGAAAGTCTGATCATTCTCTTCTTTTTAAATACTATTTCTCTTCAGAGGGATTTGTGTTAGTAGGCACACTGTCTGAAAACCATGCTGTTTTTCAGTTCAAGAAGAGGAGCAGTGGCTTTTTTTATCCAGAAAAATATCTCTAAGAAAGAGATCTCTAAAACACTTAGTAGATGAAGCACATTGTCTTTGGTCAGATGCTATACACCATAATATTACAGGTGAGTACAACAAATATTTTTCTCAGTGTGAAAAGAAAGACATTGAATTTATGGAAGAAATGCTTCAAGAAAACAGGAGTATTAAAAATAGTTTTGGACCTGGAGGTGTAGCTCAGGTACCACATGTCCTTAGTGTGCATGAGTCCTGGGGTCCAATCTTCAGTACCACAACAAACCAAAAACAAAGTACCACAAACCAAGAAAACTGTCTTTCTGATATTTATAGAGTACACTATTTTAAAATTCTTCTAAAATATTATTCTACATATAGGAGAAACTTAGAAGAATATTTTCTTCAACAATAAGATGTCTATTTTAATCTTTATTAAATATTTAAAAATTCTTTTTCATGAAATTTTTCTTGTCCTGCTGCTACATAATAATGTAAATGCATGACTTTTCTAGGTATATCCGCTCATGTGCACCGGCAAGTTGTTTATTTCTCTGAGGGAACTCTCATATGGATGAAGGAGGCTGCCCACATGTCTAATGTGTCTGACCTGAGAGTGTTTTATAGAGGTTCAGGACTGATCTCTTCCATTTCCACAGACTGGCTTTACCAGAGAATGTATTTCATCATGAATGAGCTGGTTAGTGTGAGAATTAAAAACGAGTAACCGGATATCGAGACTATCTGCATGTGTTGTTGTATTTACTGCTCAGCACAATTCTCCCATTAAATATCTACTCAGTGAGTACATACTGACTTTAGATACTAGTTAAGCAATGGATGATAGATCTGGGTCTGCAGGAGTCTAACTTGTACCTAGTACTAGTTCTGACCTGCCACCAAGTCATTTTTATTCATGATTTTCCAGAGTCATGAGCTTGTATTAATCAGAATTATCTGCCATCATACAGTGGTGGTAGCTGTGTTATCATTAGATAAGACTGCCCATCATGACTGTTGTCAGCTGCAAGCATCTCTTATACATTATTGTATAATAACCAGGAATAAATTTAGTAGGTTTCTAAGAATACCAAGTTTTCTGTATTTCAGTTCTATTTCTTTGGAAGATTAAAGCTCATAGTAATGAGCAAAGGACAGCACTAGAGCTGGAAGCCCGTAAGCCTGAATACAGCAAAAATGTTAAAAATAGATGGTTACCATAAATAAATGGCATTTCACTGATGCCTACAGGATGTAAACTCACTAGGATACAGGGTATGTGTCTTCTGAGGGCTTCTTTTGTTTTGAGAGTGCTTAGTGATTAACACAATGCCAAGCATGGAACAAATGCTTGGGAAATGCTCGTTGGCTGAATGGAACACAGACATGTTTCCTTCTGAACTGTTTTTGATTCTCTAGGTCTATGTCTGTGATTTGGAGAACTGCTCAAACTTTGAGGAAATTACTCCGCCCTCTATTATTACACCTCAGAAACTTGTGGCTGATGCCTACAATGGGTAAGTGCCAGGCTTGTGGAGAAGGGCTCTCTTCCTTTGGTGAAAATCCTGGTGAAATTTACTTGCTAATGAAATTGTAGCACCAGATGATCTATGTATCTTATTTTGGTCTATTCAAGTAAATTTCCAGGCAAACTTTTCTTTCCAAAGAGCAGGAGAACATTTCTTTTAAATTTGATTCACTCCTCATCTATAGCACAATATAGAGGCTGAGCAACATGGGATTTGGCCTGGTATTGTCACCCTCAGCACCTCTTGTCCCCTCCCTCAGGGCTTACCATGTGAAGCCCGTGGATTGCATGCACATCTTTGTTGAGCAGTCGTCTCCCTGGTCTGTTTCTCTTGTTTGTCAGAAAAGCTACTGTCCTCCATCCTTAGGCGACATAATTTGATGGTAAACAGCTAGCACAATTTTTAATGACAACATTTTTCTCCCCTGTCATAAGAGAAATTGACACATTTGAGCTCAGCTGTGCTGCTAAACTGCAGTAGGATCTCAAACAAGGAACTCCATGACTGTGATCATTTGTTTATCTGTCCATATATGAAAGACAATACCCAGTTGGGTTATTTTGAAGTTAAATGACATATTCACTGTGAATAGATTTTGTGTACATGAATGTGAAAGATGAAAACATAGAAAGTTATTTTGGAGCTGTAATTTCAAAAATACATTCAGTTAAGAACAAATTAGAAACCAATAAGCAAGGCCAATGTGGGTAAAGTGAAATATCTTTTTCTTTCTTGTAAGAATAAAGTTGTTTTCATTTTGAATAAAAGAAAAGCCCATAGAATGTTATTTTAAATAAACTTACTTTCTTGAAAAAAGGTTATTCATTATTGATTTTAAAAAATCAAACTTTTCTGTTCACATGCTTTTAAATTTTACCAGATTCATTTTCATTTTAGGTTTGAATGAATCACTGAATTATAGAATGTTTTTAAAACCCTGTGAAGTCAGGCACGTCCTTTGGAAGCTCTAGAACTTATTTATGAAGGTCTAAGGTCCTATGAAATGTAACCTTGCTGTTGGCAATTACACAAAAATGACTCATTCAGAGGATAATTAACTTTACCCCCTAAGTCAGTCCTTCAAAGATATCTTAGTGAGGAATTCAGTGGCTCTTTTTCCCTAGTAGGGTAGGATAAAGTTGATTTGTGCATAGACTTTGGAGTGTGATGAGGAATGATAGTGATAACTGGTATTCATACCAGTGTTTGTCTGCATGTGCTGCTTAGTGCATTGCTTCCAATAATTCATTTTATCCTTGTTCAACCCCATGAGGAAGCTGCTCTCATTGAATGTGAGGGAACCGAAACCCAGGATGATTTAGTAACTGTCTAAGAAGCTATTTTGCAGTGGAACTAGGATGGGGCATCTTGTACCAGAACCTATTTTCTAATCGTCTTCCTGGACCAGGACAGGAGAATTTCTGTAGAAACTAGCATGACACGCTTGGCAGCAGTTTTTACGATGTTCTCATGGGACATCGGGTAAACCTATCATTGTGCTGTCATTTCTGCATGGTTGAAGATTCTCTCACTGAGCTTCGGCTTGCTGTCTTCTCTTCTCTTTTCTTTCCTTGTGTCCTTGGTATTTCACGCTTGCTATTTCTTCTCCCCACTGTCCTCCTCCTCCTCCTCCCCAGCGCACCTCCTCCTCTCTTTCTCTTCCAAAGTAGTGATCAGGGTTAAAGATTTGCACTACTCCCTGCTTTATACAAGAATTATGCATCTTTACTCCAGATGTTTCCCTTTATCTACTCTGAAATTCTTCCAAACTCCATTAATATTTTTTTCATTGAGTTTATTGGTACATTTTAGGTTTACAGTACAGTTAAATTCATCATTGGGATCTTGTACCTTTAAATGACAGGCCTTGGTTCTCATTTTTTCCCCTCGTCCATTAACATTTTGAATTTGAGAAGAACCATGCTTTTTCTGGCCTGCTATAACCTCCCTTAAGAAAAAGAATGTAGCTTTGTATCTCAAAATGTAGCTTATATTTCAGAATATGACTTTAGCACGAGTCCTGAGCATATGGATAAAGATTTGGAACGGTCAGCGAGAAGAATAAGAATGGACTGAATAGTGGCAGGAAAATGACTTGTCAGTTGTGACGGAGGCTGCAATGCTGCCAGCCCCCTGGGTCGTAATAACAGGAAGTTACCAAGCAAAAGTGTACTTTTACCAGCATCTGTATTGTGGCCATAAATTCTAAATTAAGTGGGTACAAATGAATGATTTTATATTTTAGTTAAAAATCCACTTGCAGATTTGACCACCAGGGAACTGTGTTGGTCGTGTGCTTTCTTTTTCATTATTGAGAGATTTCTTGTCTTATTACCATGGGGTTCTGCATCATATTGGATGTGGTTTTTTACTCTTCTGTTGACTTCTTTCTCCTGATTGCTGGGTGGGCCTGGCCAACTACTTTGGTCACTTGTGTGGTATTTCTTCTTGGGTTTGTTAAATGTCAAACATTTACTACTGCCTGAATCAATCGTAGATATTTCAAAACTATGTAGACTACTACAAAAGCTTAGTAGTTGTACTTGTTATAGTGAAATAGTGTATTTAGGAAATGAATAGTTTAAGTGTTTTGCTTTCTTCTATTAATCATTCATAATGTGTGAGGAAATTTGTTGATAAAATTAGAGTTAAGAATTTGTGCATTTTGGAGGAAGGTGCTTTACAGTAAATAACATATTTGGCTATGTAATTTGTATATAACATGCTTTGCTTGAAAACTTTAAAGCCTCTTTCTGTTCTTAAATTCTGCAATTCCTTAAAAAGCCACTTATAATAGAGACTAAACATTGCAAGTGAGGCTGAAATTTTCCAATCTTCCAACTTCTGCCTTAAATGAGTACAACATATCTTTGGTAATGACCTTTACCCGTTTGTACCTTGGAGAATGTGTGGCTTGGGAGTTATCTGGTTCTGGTTGTGCAACGGGTTAAAGCAATTAGTTGAGTAGATGACTCATTCGCCCTGCCCTGAATCATGCCAGACTTTTTTGTTTCCATATCAGGTACATCTTTTATCTCCTGAGAGACGGCATTTACAGAGTCGATCTCCCTGGGCCAGCTGGCGGAGATGCCAAGCCTGTGCGCATCGTGGAGAGTTGCACATTAAAGGACTTCGCAATAAAACCACAGTCAAAGAGGATCATTTACTTCAACGACACCACCCAAGTCTTCATGTCAACGTTTCTAGATGGCTCTGCTTCCCATTCTGTCCTCCCTCGGTTCCCCTTTGCTGATGTGCAGAGCTTTGCTTGTGAAAGCAGTGACTTCCTTGTGACAGATGGCAAGGCCGTCTTCCGACAGGACTCCATATCTTTTAATGAGTTCATTGTGGGATGTGACCTGAGTCACATAGAAGAATTTGGGTTTGGTAACTTGGTCATCTTTGGTTCCTCTGTCCAGCCACACCCTGTCCCACATCGCCCAAGGGACGTCTCGGTGCTGTTTGGGTCTCACCAGGCCCTTGTTCAGTGGAAGCCTCCTGCCCTCCCCATTGGAGCCAGTGAGTGCCCTGTCCCTATGGTTGGGCTCTGGTATGCTGGAAGGAGGTGGGCTTGGACTGTGTGGAACTGGGATTCAATTTTGGGAGCCTGCATACAGTTACTTAGCTTTTTTTTTTTTTAAAGTATTTTTACACTTGCTTTTCATTTTTTGAAAGTGATTTTTTTCATAGTTTGCAGTAGCAGGCTCTCCCAATAAAATAATTTCACAATTTATTGAGCATCTACTAGAAGCTAACATTTATTGAACATCTACAAGCATCTACTAGGAGTGAATATATCAACCAGGGGAACAGAAGAATTGGGTTGAGATCATGCATGGATTTGAACACTTCTCTGAATTTGAATCTCTGTCTCTAGAGAAGCAGTGTGTGTGGTGGGTCAGCAGGTAGGGTCTGGAGCCAGCATGCATGGATTCAATACTGGTCTTGACAGCAAGATTACCCCCACACAAGTGATTAGTGATAGCAGAATGACCTTGGGCAACTTCCTTCATCACTTCGAGCCTGGGTTTCCTCTGCACATTGTAATGAATGAGAGTTTAGTTATATGTTTGTGTGGGACTGTTGTACAGATCAAATTAGGGTAAAGAGAAGAATAGTTAGAGCAGTATGTAGCACAGAGAGAGGTTAGAAAACGTCTTGGGAAAGGAAAGGCTAGACAATAAATAATTTCAGCTTTGTGAGTAAGACGTTCTCTGTCAAGCTATTCATAGCCAGAGCCTTGTAGCACAGAACAGCCAAAGACAGGGTGTAAACAAATAACTGAGGCTGTGTTTAGTATAGCTCTACTTACAGAAATAGGTGCTGGGCCAGATTTGGCTGTGGTTTCCCAAGCTAACACTGGGCACTTTATATTTTAAGACAAAGTAAACTATTGTTGCATATCTCAAAAATGGCAAAATGAATAGGCACCCCCCAATATTGATTGGGAGTCTTGGAGGTCCTATGTGAACCCTGAGAAATATACTGAAGATTCACCATTAAGCATTTTTTTTTTTGGTACTGGGGATCAAACTCACAACCTTGTACTTGTGAGGCAGGTATGGTGTCACTGAGCTAAATCCCCAGCCCATCACTGAGCATTTTTATGAAGAGCCTGGTTATAGCAATATCACAGAATCCCTGTGACAGTCCTGTAGAGCAACCATGCATCTCTGATGGAAGAACAGTCTCCTTGTTGCCACAGTGTCTCCTTAGGTAGAGGGCAGTGAGCAGCACAGGAGGAACGGGTGTGGTCCTGACTTCATCACCCAGTGACCCCGGTGATTTGCTAGATGTTCACTGGAGAGCAGGCTATGATGGATTTGTTGACAATCTTTGGTTTGCCCTTACTGATGTCCTGGTCAATGCCATTGTTGAACTCTTCTCTTTAGGCCCTTCCGCCTGGCAGAACTGGACTTATGAGGTGCAGGTATCCACCCAGGACCTTCCTGAGTTTACTCGCACTTTCTCTAACATACGGGGAGTCATGTTTAATATATCTGGGCTGCAGAGTGCTATGAAGTACAAGGTTTCTGTGCGAGCAAGTTCTTCCAGGGGGCCGGGCCCCTGGTCAGAGCCCTCAGTGGGTACAACGCTTGTGCCAGGTGAGAAATGTTATATATTTAGGGCATGATTTTGACAAAATCCTTTAAAATTCCTTGCCTCCAGTGTGGTGAGGAAACTAGAATAGAGGTGTTGACCTCTTGGGGATGTGTTTTTACCTGTAATTAGGAAAGCAAGTAAGTTACTGTGGTTTTTGTCTTTCTAACTTAATGTTTTAGTTTCCCAAATACATTTTAGAGAACAAGATACTTTCCTTCTTCTTCTTGGGTTTCTGTTTGCTTATGATTTGTTAAGCCATGGTATTCCTGAACTCTGGGTTATGGTGAAGGAGTTGAGGGGCCGTGAATTATTTTGAATCTCATCTTCTTGGTGGAAGATGACTTTATAATTTGTGCTGCTGTTGTTACCACAGTTGCTTCTGGGCACCCCGAATGAGGCCGTGGCAAACAGTAGCTACTGGGGGCAAGTATGTGTCATGACCACAACACTGCAATATCGCTGCAGAGTTTCTTCATGTTCAATCACAAAGCTTTGTATGAGTCAGAGTGTATGAATAACGTGAGCTCTAACTCGATTAAGCAGGTTCAATCACTCCTATCCTTCTACAATATTTTTCAAAATGCTGATATTCTTTTACCTTAGAAGGGAGATCTTGAAGTGTAAGCCTTGTACCTAGGCACTGATGGTGAAATCCTGCCAGGAGCAGGATGTGGAGGGCACAGCCACAGTCACCGTACTGAAGTGGGCTGGGAACTGAGCTCCAAGGCCCAATGCCAGCAGGCTCTAGTATGATCGGGAGGAGACAGATCTACTTCTGCAGGCTCTGAGAGGCAGCACAGACTATATTAAGAAATATGTCTCAGAGAACAGTTTCTGGACACATGGGTAGAGCAGGAGACACAAAGAAATACTAGGACCAAGAAGAAAAGGTGGAAAAATACCATAAGCAAATTAAGATAGAAGAGAATGCAGCAGGTTGGAGTTATGAGTTACTTTGGAAATAATACTTTATTGAAATGTTACAGAAGTTTGGATAGAGGGTCCATATCTTAGAAATATTCACTAGCGGTATAATTTCCTTCAATTTTATGAGATGCTTATTAGGAGACCATATAAAGTAAAAATGATTCATTCACCTTCTCTCTTCTGGATGAAGCTTAGCAATAGATGGATGAGCTGGTTTTTGCTGGGATATTGCAGCCTTCATTCAAGACAATGAAACAACAGTGGACTTTTCGATAACAAGCACACACAAAATCATAATGCAGAGGAGCTTAGTTAATACTTAGTGTTCTGCTCTAATGAGGTACTATTCCATCTTCTGTCACTGTCGCTGAACACCACACACTGCCGTGGGGAATAGAAGTCTGGCTCAGTTCTGGAGGCCGGAGTCTGAGCACATGGTGAGGCCTTTCTGCGTCGTGCACAGCAGAGGTACCAGGTGTCATATTCAGGAGTCTGACCCCTTACTAACTGCTGTGCTGGGGCCACTTTTCTGACACATGGACTTTCACAGGACACATTCCAACCATAGAAATGGTTACTGGATTTGTGATTACTATTTATTACTTTATATCATTTCATAATGTATGAATCTAGCAATAAACTTTGTGTTTCTTCCTTCAAAAGACTTGTATCTAAAAATGCTTCCTATGATATTTATTTTTCTAAAATTTTTAATCAAACAGCTTCGGAGCCACCATTTATCATGGCTGTGAAAGAAGATGGGCTTTGGAGTAAGCCCCTGAACAGCTTTGGCCCGGGAGAATTCTTATCCTCTGACATCGGCAATGTGTCAGGTAAGTGCCCTCGTTTGCTGACCTGCCAAGCGTCTGCTTGTGGGACTTCTCAAGGTATTTAATCAGTGGAAAGAGTCGCTGGCTGTTTGGTTAACAGTGAAAGATAACATACTGACTAGATGACACTGCCAGTGATATTGTTAAGAAAATATCAGTTGAGTAAAAATGCTATTTATTAATTTTATTAATTCACAGAATAAGAGCTTAGTTACTGATTCATACCCCCTTTAGGAGGCCTTGATAAATGCTCTTGCATTTCAGTCTATAGATGTTGTCTTACTGTAACAGCCTCTCCTTCCACAAAGAAAGCGATTCTTAGGCCATTCCCTCTGAGTTTGCCGTACGACTGGATCCAGGACTGCTGTGCAGAGTTATGATAAGAGTTTGTTGACAAAGAGGGTTTTTAAGTAATGAAGGGCAATGTTGCCAGAAGAAGAAAAATCTTCACTCCTAGGTGGATAACAGTGGTCTTCCTGAAGATGACATCTTCTATAATTATCTGATCATTTTATTGATTGGTTTGGCCTTTAAAAACAGTATCTCAACCTGGAGTGCACATTTCTGTGTCCAGATCTAGGACTTAAAATTCTGAGTTTACATTATTAAAATATGCTTGACAAAGTCCTGAAGTTCTAGGGGATAGTGATGTCAGTATTTGCTTTAAAATTGTATTGAAGTGCTTACATTTTCTTGGTGTACACAAAAAATAACTGGTAATAATTGCTTTCTTTTTATTTGGAGACATGGATTGGTATAACAACAGCCTGTACTACAGTGACACCAGAGGAGAGGTTCATGTGCGACTGCTGACTGGGTCAGGAGTCTCAGGGAGCCATCACATCCCCAGCATTGCAGGGGCAGGGGCTTTGACTTTTGAGTGGTTGGGTCGCTTTCTCTACTGGGCTGGAAAGACATATGTGGTAAGTGAAAGTTTGGCATCCTGGGGACCATAGTTATGTACCACTTAGGGAATATATGTCTCTAAACTTACTTCCTCTAAAGTGCATTTATGTATAAGTGAACTTTTATGTCACTACTAGTAGAGTGTACTAGTTACATACACATACATTCATTAACATTTTAAAATAAATCCATTAAAATGCCCACTTGAGGGTCTTGGCAGGAGATGATAGATTTCAAAGGTGTGGCAGGGCTGGGGAAAATGAGCAAGGAACAGCAAAGCACATCCTGGGATAACAGGTTTGGAAGAACAGAAGCCCATGGATGGAGAGGGAGGGGAGAAGGCAAAGGAACTGGAGAGGCCTTAGCTGTAGGAGAGCTGGAGACAGCAACTGGAACTTTAGATGCCAGCAAAGTGCATCATCTGGGCCCGAGCAGGCCAGAGGAATAAGCACCCTGACACTTTCCTCTTGCCGGTGCTTCCCGTGGCTACTCCTCCCTGGAAGCTAGAGGGCCAGGGAGTCTGGCCAGGGCAGCCTCTGGGGGAAGAGAGCTGCCTGGGTCAGCATGGGAGCCTCCAGTGGACCTGTGTGATGATGCACCAAGGAACAAGATGCTGGTCAGGGGCAAGAGCACTGGCCAGACACACCAGAAAATATGCTGCCGAAGCCATTTCTGATGAGGAGGGTGCTTGTTGTCCATCCACTGATTTGTTTGACCATCGTTATCTACTAGCAAGTATAGGAGAGGATAGAAAGTCCACAGTGGATATGTCTCTGCTCTTAAAGCTTTATCAATATGTAATTCACATACCATAAAACTCACCTTTTATTTTGTACAATTTGGGGTTTTTTACTACATTCAATGTTGTGCAGCCATTATGCCTTCTGTTGCTTTGATGAAATAATGGAATTAATAAGAAAAAGCAGTGTATTTAGAGGCAAAGCTGGAAGGCATAGACTGATTCATGGTGTAAATGACAGGTTAAAGGGGTGCTGAGGGCACTACTTAGGGAATGTTTCCTGAAATGGTTTAATTTAAAACTAGTTTTGAAGGAAGTAGAAGAGCTGATGCACGAACTGGCTTCTAGCATTTGCTCTGTCTTTATTTATAAAGCAAGTGAACTCCAGGACAAATTGCTTAACTTCATTTAACCCAGTTTGCTTATGAGAAAAAAAAATAGGGAATAGAAATTCCTAATAGGCTCGATGTGAGGATTATAGGAGTCAATGTCCTGAAGATAAAATAGCACACTTCCTGGCCCGGCATAGGTGCTTGGCCGTGATGGTGACTCCTATGAGGGAAATATAGAAGAGACAGGAGTGAGGAGAGAGGGCCTCATTGCAAAAGCACAGACAAATCCTTCAGGAATCCAGTCAAACACTTACCAGTCAAACACATGAGTGTTTGATTTTTCTGGAGGTACAATTAGGAATACTGAGCACTTTTCCTGGAAGTAAATTTGTTCCCTTTCCCTTTGGGGCTACAAGGAGGCAAATTCCATGAAGGCAGGCGGCGTGCCTGCTTTTCATTGTGTTTCCAAGACTTGGCACACTGCCTAGCACAGTACTGTAAATGCTTGTGGCTGAATGAATACATGGGACAGTTTACTAATGATTACAGCAAACTGTTTGGAGGTAGTGATCTCATTTGAAGAGTATTTGCTGATGATGCTGTCATGTCCTTAGATCCAAAGGCAGTCTGTGCTGACAGGACACACCGACGTGGTCACGCATGTGAAGCTGTTGGTGAATGACATGGCGGTGGACTCCGTGGGTGGATACCTCTATTGGACCACACTGTACACAGTGGAGAGCACCAGGCTAAATGGAGAGAGTGCTCTTGTCCTCCAGGCACAGCCTTGGTTGTCTGGGAAGAAGGTGACAAATTAAAATGAGATCTGATCATTTACTAACATCAAGTTATGCTCTATATTTATGAGAACACTATTTACTGTGAGTGTCTGAGGTTAAATCCTCGAGGAAATACTGACACAGTAGGACCTTGGTATCGCTAGCATGTATCTGAGCCTTCTTTGGAGGTTATAATTAATTATATAAATTTAAATATAGAGAGTTTTTGATACTTTGCTCTACCTTAAAACCATCCACATTTGACAACTTTTTAATTCTTAATGTTTTGTAATCTGAATGACTTTTATTGAATTTTTTAGACTTTCTTTTTGGGTGAGGATTAGGTGTTTTTAAAATGTTTTAAAATCAATTTTTGGTGCTGACTATTGTAAGAACTGTGTGTTCTTGAGGAAAATCACTTGACTTTTCCATTATGTTTCTTTATCTGCAAAATAAAGGGACTATTAACAATTATTTTACTTTTTATGGTTGTGATGAAAATTAAATGAGATAATTTATTTGAGGTAGCGGGAATTGTTTCAATAGTATGATAAATGCCCAATGTAAAGTTCTTATTATTGTCCTTTGATTTTAAAAATGCACCTTATACAGCAACATCTCCAAAACAAATGCTGCTTTTACTTACCTAACTTGTAGAAGCAACATCTATTTTTCTTTAATTTACTTACCTGCCCTGTAGGTTTCTACCGGAGAACCCTGTAATGAGGTTCCAATCCCTCACCTACTCATTACAGGACACAGGCCTGAGGAAAAAATACACTGAGAGACAGAACTGGGAGAGAAAGCCGGGCCGGGACAACCAATGCCGGTGCAGCTGACAAAGGCACTGGGCAGTCCCAGGCCCTGTTTTATTGGCGACCAGTTGGGCTAAAGTCAATGTGTGGTTTCTATGGAAATTAGTGTAAAAAAAGACTCACAAAGGATAAGATAAAGTATCTTTGAATTAGGAACAGAATAGATGAAATATATGGTTGTAATTAGAGCATTGTCCTTCTAGTGCGAAAGTTTTAGTTGTGGGAATGGAATTTAGGTGCGAGTTACTCTGACCTTGGCACATGGGCTTCGGCCAGACTCACTTCTGTAAACAGCCAGCTGTGGGATTCACTCTTCACAGGCTGCCTTGGGCATAATCAGTATCACCATCCTCTGCAGATTTCCACCTAAATTTCTGAATCTTATTTTTTCAGATCACAATAGCAATATAAGGCCATTGCAGAAAACTTAAAAATTACAGAAAAACATTATGAAATAAACCATTGCCCTATTTATACCTAATGTATTCCTTACAGTTTTGTTATTTTAAAGCCCTTTTCCTTATTGAGAAAGAATATATGCTAGATCATTCAAAATATGTATGTATATATGAAATTACTGTTGAATCACTGGGAAACCAGTTTCATGGAATATATGGGCTATATTTCCTGGAATACTGTATTTAGAGATCTGATTTGTGTACACAGATTATAACATATTTTAAAGAGATTTGGAATTTATGTACCACATCCAAAGGTCAACTCATAGAGTGTCAGATGTCAAACCATGCAACAGAACACAGTTACAAAATCTGCAACAACTTACCAGACTGGGGCAGAATCTGGAGGGGAGTTGAAAGAAAGATATATTTCTCCAAATATTCTGAGAAATCTAATGATCCATCAGTGTTTGGGAAAGTTTTATGAATTCTGTTTTGCAGCTACTTTCTGAAAAGTGGTTGTCTCTAAGCAAAACCATTTGCACTCAGCAAATCTCTAAGCCTCCCTCCCTCCTTTATATCACTCACACATTTATCCCTCAGCCAGGAGATACTTCCAGTCAGCAGATACTAGGAGGCACAGCCAGCTAGTTCCTTAACTCAGCACAGAGTGCATTTTACCACAGGGTTAAACTTCAGTGTGATAGCCTTAGTTTGGGTCTGCTTCTGCTTGTTTGCAAGTTATAGACGCTGTTAGACGTGCAGTGGTTCCCAGGACTCGCAGCATAGCTTCTGCCTGTTTCTGTGTGGGGCTGCTGAGGGAGGCAGAGGAAGGGGAAGGACCCAGCACCTGGGTTTTACTGATGCTTTGAACACTTTGTTGTAGCCTGGCAAAGGGACTTACAGGACCTCCTGTTTTAGAGAGCTACAGTTAATTTATGATTTAGAGACCTAGAGTTAATTTATAACTTAGGAGAATTCAGTGCATCTTGTTGTGAATAACCAAGCAAGAGTAACCTAATTTCACTTCAACGGAGAAAAAGAAATCAGTAAATTCCTTTTAGCATGAAGCAAATCTATGATTCAGTTCCTGAAAGGCTGGGAACCACTAGAATAGATTTTATTTTCTGGAGAAAGACTCAGGCAAATTATTTGAAGACACAGGTGATGGTTTCTAAGGCAATAGGAGGTTCTTGCAGTCAGGTGCCACGTGACCATTTCTGAGCAGGAGGGTGACCTGTCAGAAGTATTTCTAGTTCTTAAATACTTTACAGTATTGTATTTTTTAACATTTTTATTGGCCCATCATTTTAGCTTACATGCTTAACTTGCTAAAGATGTAATCCTCAACTTGAATTTTTTTTAATTGAATTTATTGGTACAATCTAGGTATACAATACAGTTGCATTCATTGTTGGGATCCTGTACCTTTACTTGATAGGTCTTGATTCTCATTTTTTCCTCTTGTCCCTGCCCTCCCTTCACCCACTTCTCCCTTCTCCATTTACAAACACTTTATTTCCATTTTTTCAATTTCTCACATTTTTTTCCTTTCCCCTATTACCTTTCCCCCACCCTTCCCACTTTCCCTACACCTTTAGCCCTTTACTTCCTATTTCACATTATTAATTATCTCACTAGGATCCTGTGTACTATTATAGTTTTTCACACCAGAGAAACTATTCAGTATTTCAGTTAAAGAAATCTCTGTATGAACATTAAAAGTAGGGAATCCTAAAATAAAACTAAAAAGGAAAGTAAAAGAGAAAAGGCAATGATGTTTGATTAAAATAATCCTTAATTCTGAAGATGGAAACGGTCCCTTCACATATTTAAATTGCTTCTTGCTCTTGTAGTCTTATCTTATTCTTTTTTTTCATTATTTAGAGAATACTTTATTAGTTTCTGTAATCAAACCCACGTAGATATGACCTTACATATTTAATACAGTGCATTACCTCTGTACAGATGGAAAAAATAAAAAAAAAATTAACATTCCTAGACCAATATGGCTGTCCATTTCTGTACAATGCCAACTCAACACAATAAATTGGGATAACTTTTTCCAAAGTTGACAGCACTGTTAAAGTTTCCAAAAATTCAAATTATATATATGTATATATAAATATTTATATTTATATAAAAAGACCAATAATAACAGTATGTTATGCATCAATAGCAGCAACAGCTTTTCCAGGTTCTGCAGTCATCTGAACAAAATTATAGACATTCAGCAGACTCCATTAAAAAAGCAAAAACAAAAAAACAAAGAAAAGAATAATATCCAGAAAACAACAAAGTTCTGTTGCTGTTGTGGTACCTGGCACCATTTTTTTTATTAGCATCTTAATCATCATCTGGAAAGAGAACATTCTAGAGTAATATCATTAAATGTAGCTCTGATAAAGCATGGTCACTACTACATATCATAAAGCAGGTACAAGATATTTTTACATTCACAGAGGTATGATACAGTACCGTCCTACATCAATAATACTAGAATCAGTTTTGATTTGAAATTTGCTTTGTCTGCAAATAAGATTGCTACCCCTGCTTTTTTCTGGGCTCCTGTCACATGGAGAATTATTCTCCATCCTTTCACTTTCAGTCTATGGGCTTCTTTTTGTACTAGGTGTGTTTCTTGTATATTGTTGGATTTTGCTTCTTATTCCATTTTGCCAGTCTATTTCTCTTGATTGGTGAGTTGAGGCCATTGACATTGCTGGTTATAACTGATGTGTACTGACTTATTATTGACATGTTATTGGCCCTTTGTTGACTCTCTTTACTTTTTCACCTTCTCCTTTTAGTTTCTTGCCTTGCCTATTTGATTTGCTCTGTTGGGCCTCATGGTGTTGTTGCCTTCATTGTCTTTTTCTAGGATCTTGTTTAGAATTGCTTGTAGTGCTGGTTTGGTATTCATGTAGTTTCTCAAGTGTCCTTTGTCGTGGAAGTGTCTCATTTCCCCATCCATTTTGAAAGAGAGTTTTGAAGCATACATCAGTCTAGGTTGGAGGTTGTTCTCTTTTCGTACTTGAAATACCTCATTCCAGGCTCTCCTTGCCCTAAGGGTTTGTGTTGAAAAGTCTGCTGTTATTCTGATGGGCTTTCCTTTGCATGTGATTTGTTTCTTTTCTCTTACTGCTTGTAGTATTTTGTTCTTCTGTTGGGTTTCTGGGATCTTAATTATTATATGTCTAGTGTAGATTTTTTTTGATTGTGGCTAGTTGGGGTCCTATATGCCTCAATTATCTGAATGTCAGATTCTTCCCCTCTGGGAAGTTTTCTGTCATTAATTCTGAGAACAGCTTTTTTAAGTCATTTGTATTTTCTCCTGCTACTTCATGTATTCCTGTCAGTCTTATGTTATTCTTCTTTGCATCATCTAGGAGTTGTTTGATTGATTTCTCATGATCCCCTACTGTTTTTAAGAGACCTCTTTTTTCATGGTCACTGACTGCAATCTTATCTTCTATATCTGAGAGTCTATCTTCGCATTTTTTAATTCTGTTGTGTACACTTTCAATGGAGTGTTGAATCTCCTGAATATCTGTTTGAATCTGTTTTATGAATTCCATTTCTTTCCTATGTTGGGCATTTATTTTTTCCATTTCTTTCTTATGCTGGGCCTTCATGACTTCTATCGTGGTCCTGAGCTCATCTATTTTTTTGTCAGTTTCTGCTCTAGAGTCTCTAATTGTGACTTCCATTTTGCTCACTATCTCTATGGTTAGCTGGGAAATTGTTTCTGTTTTGAATTTTTCTAGAGCCTGATTGATCTGTTTTGTTACTTCCTGTGTTTTGAGTTCAGAGTGTCCAGGTGGTTCACTATCGGCCTTTTCATCCTCATTTGCCCTACTGTTTGCCATCAGTGAACTGTAAGTCTGTCTTTGTGTCTTGCTTAAGTGTTTTCTCATTTTTATTTTTGTTGTCAGGCTGTCCTTGGTTTAATCTCTGGGTTATCACCCAAATCTTCCTGATATAGTTGCCCCCTAGCTTCTGTGTCTCTAACGACCCACAGACATTCTCATCTTCATAACATCAGAGAAACAGCTCATCAAATCAACCACAATGCTTTATCCCAACTGATACAATCAGCAACACATTATGATTAAGCACAACTTGGAAACTGACCACCTGTGGTAGTCACTAGTCTATCACCCTTAAACCATTTGAATTAAATTGAAATCAAGAAGCAGTCCAGAACATGTCTGCAGTGAACAAACTTTTCAATATAGTATATTTACCATTTAATGGCTCAGACAGAGCTAGGACGCAAACCCCTGGTCTCAGTTAGCTAATGGCTGAACCCCATGACGCTGACTGATCTCAGCCTGCAAGGCCCAGATTGAGTTCCCCAACCTTCTGAATGGTTGATCTCACACCGTTCTACTACAGGTTTCCCACACCCTTTCTTTAAAGATGTTCAAAGTTGGGAACTCAGAAAAATACCCTTTATGACCACCTCTGCCTCTGCAGAGTGTGTCCAAAGACTGGCACAATCAGGAGGTCTGAGAGTGTATGAGGGGGGAGCGGAGGTAAGGGAAGTTATGGGGGTTCAGGGGCACCCGCGCAGCTACCTTCCTGGTGCTGGAGCGATGGCGTCTCCAGGGGGAGAGGGCGTGGCTCTCCTTCCCGAGGTGGATCGAGGCCCAGGCTACCTTCCTGGCCCTGGAGGATGGCCAACTTGAGTCTTTCTGATACCTCTCAGTGGCTAGCTCTACTACAGAGGGATACAATGTTCTGAGGCCAAGCTCCTAGTAATCTGTTTATTTGAAAAATACCCGTAAAGCCAAAGAAAGAAAAAGGAGAACCTTTTGATAATAACTCATATCTCATGCAGTCTATTTCATAGGAGAAGCAACCTTTCCCCGAGCCTCACTAGACAGCTGTATATAAAATTGAGTAATGGACTGCAACAAGAATACAGTGTAGTTAAGGGGTGGTTTTCATCTGGAAACAGGACTTTATATTCACATGAGAATCCAAGTTTAACACATAAGCACCCTGTGTTTATTATCTCTGTGGAATAAGGCAGGGTGTTTTGGTTGTAATTAATAGCAAATACAAGTAAATTTTTTTCTCCAGGCACTGGGAATTGAACTCAGGACCTTGTGCTTGCCAGGCAGGTGTGGCTCCTGAGCTAAATCCCCAGCCCAAGCAAATGCAATTTAAAATGGTGTAAAACTTTGGTTCTCAAACATGGTACCCTGGAATCACTCAGGTGGTTTTGAGGCAGACTGAAGCCTGGACTTCATCCCCAGGGACCACAATTTCATAGGGTGCAACTAGGGAACAGATTTCATGAACAAGCTCTGCAGATGATTCTATTACACAGCCATGTCTGAGGACAACTGGCCTAAATACTAATAAAATTTGCTGGGTCAAGTTCCTAAAATTTCCACCTCTGTGGTTAGTTTTAGATACTGGCTCAGTTGTAGACCAATCAGGTTGAGATGTGCTCAAGAAGTTGCAAGTTTCTAGCTGCTACTGCTGGTGTCCAAGAATCATCCTTTGATAACTGATGGAACGGAATATGTAAGTGAATACAGATACTCCTTATCTTTTGGAGAATTTTAGGAAACCACTGTTTCTATCCAAGAGCATGGTAATAGGCAAAATCACATACTTTTTATAGTTAGCAAAAAGTAAAAATCACTGTTTATTATTCTAAAGAGGATGTTAAAGAAAAATATGTGAAGTGTAACCTATTCACAAAGGTTTGCTGTAGACGTGCATTTAGTTCATGTTCTTTTCTTTTCTTTTTAGGTTATTGCTCTCACTCTGGACCTCAGCGATGGGCTCTTGTACTGGTTGGTTCAGGACAGTCAGTGTATTCACCTGTACATGACTATTCTGCGAGGACAGAGGTAAGACATAGCTCTCAAAGGCTCTCAGTTATCAATTACAATGCATGAGATTCATTTTTTCTTTTGGTAAATACTCATAACTTTTGCACTGCTGCAGTATGGTGCCTGTGAGGAAAGATGGGTTTGTAAACAGCTGATTACAGCGGAATATGGTTAGTGCTGTGATGGGCACTGAAGTGGAGACTGGAGACACTGAGGAGAATCTGACTCAGAGCCCAGAAAATAGGCGAATGGGTTTTCTGCTTGTTAGTACAGTGGCACTTTCCTCTGACCACTGGAGAGATTTGTCTTGTGTTGGACTTCTGGGATTTTGACTGTGACGTGTCATATTTTCACTGTAGTTATTGTGTTCTGTAAGCCTCGCTTACCTGTATATTGAGTTCTTTCTCCACACTTGGAAAGTTTTCTGCTATGATTTCTGTAAATGGATTTTATTCCATCTATGCTGTCCTCTGATTTCTCTCTAGCTCGGTTAACCTTAGGCGATTCTTCTTAGCATCTTCTGCTAGCTGTTAGATGAACTTCTCTTGCTCTCCTGTTGTTTTTGTTTCTCTCAGCATATCATCATATCATTCCATTTTGTCCTTGATTTCTGACATCCTGTTTTCACATTGGTCTTTTATGCTGTTTACAAATTTATTAGAATTCTTTATCCTTAAGATTTCTGTTTGGCACTTTTATGTGGAGTCTCTTTCTTTGGTAAATTTGTCATTTATGTTTTGAACCATTTTGGACAACTCCTCTAATTTATTTGTTTTTCACATACCACACTGGTCAGTTTGTTTCATAGTTTCTCTGTCTTTTGGTTTATGTCATCTTTGATCATTCCAAGTTCTTTGCTGCCTCTTTAATTGTTGTGTACAGCTGAGCTATCTGATGTTTGATTTCTTTTCCATTGGTGCCCATTGAATGTGCTCAGGGAGCCCTAGGAGTCTTTGGAGGAATTTTGTTTCCTTTTCTTTTTATGTTCTTTGTGTGTGTGTGTGTGTGTGTGTGTGTGTGCTCACGTGCATGCATGCCCTGATGATTAAAGTCAAATAGAGCAAAGAGAATTTGTTGTTTGTATGAAGACATGTTTAGTTAGGTTCTGCTTTCCAGTGATGTGTTCTTGGATTTATTAAGAGGTCTTGTTTCCCACTTCACCCCGTTCAGTTTGATTGGGGTGGACCTTGTCACTTCAGCTTATGGAGCCTTACCATCTCCATGCCGTGTTGTTATTGTCAGATATTTTACTCCTACTATAAAAAAAATCTTTTAAAAATTGTTAGCTTAAACAGTCAATAGTTTTAATTTCAAGAGAGTAGTTACAGAGTTGAAATTAAAACATAAGACATAAATTCATTACAGCACAGCATTTAGAGGGACTGCTTAGAGATTATTTTATTTCATAGATAAAAAGACTGAGGTCAGAGGTGTTCAGCCATCTGCCTGTCTTGTGGTTAATTAGTGGGATGGTCAGGTAGGGCTAAAACATTTGTTATCCTTCCTCATGTTCTGTGTCTGAGAATTGAAATTGACTCCCTCATTCAAATTGCTCTTCCTTCTCCTTTGTAAAATTACTTCCTTTATTTATAAAGAACAAAGCTATAGGGCTGAGGGTTTGGCTCAGTGGCACTGTGCCTGCCTCACAAGCACAAGACCCTGAGTTTGATCCCCAATACAAAAAAAAAGCTATACACAGTATACGTTTTCCGACTTTGAAGTTGAAATAAGTGCACTGTCATGAAAGTTCGGGTACATTTCATGGCATCAGAATAGATCACTGCTCTACCAGGGCACACATCCTTGCTGTTTTCTGCACCTGAACTGCCCCCTTTCGGTTCCCTGGTTAATTTGCATTGCATTGGCAGAGCTACGCTCATGGCCTCACTCAAATTTTACCCCCATGGGGAGGCTTTCTCTTAGTGTCCAATGCACTTTCCTTTCAGAGTCCATTTAATAATGCAGTTCTTTGCTAATTCTCTGTCTTTTCAGCAGGGCTGCATGCTCTACTAAAGTTTATGTTCCACTGTGTTCCTAATCATGAGCCCAGAACTGCACTTGTAACGTGTTGAACAAACCACCTCTTGCTAGAGTACCTTGACCTAGTTCTGTGTGCACCTCATGCCTCATGGAAGGGGCTCCAGTGAGAACACCACCGGATGATTTTCTGGATGAATTTTTGTTCAAGTCTAGCCTTACCTGTTTTTGACAATTGAAGGATTTGAACTACTGACCTCTTGAAAGTGAGAAGATTGTGCTGAAGTGAGGCAAAAAACATGGGAGATGGTGAATTTTGGGGGTTAACCCAGATATGCAGGAGACTTTCACTTGAAGAAGGAGTCTTCAGGTAGAAACAAGGAGCAATTCATACTAGGGGAATCTGAGAGGCCTCAGTCCTGCAAACCAGGGGACACTAACAGGCATTTTGCCCAAGCTGCAGTGAAAGCCTCTGTCCTGGTCCTGGAGACAGCTGTAAGAATGTTGAAGCACTTGCTAGCCAGGCCTGAAGTGTGGCTGACCAAACACCTTCCTGTGTGCAACGGCAGCAGCTTGGCCAGGGTCAGTGGGGCCAGGCACTGAGGCCCATGTGTCCTGCCAGGCCAACGCCCTTCCGCCTGCAGCTTGGTTCTGTGTCTTCAGAAGGTTACTGGGAAGGTCCACAAGACGTGCGAACAGCAACACGCGATTGGTCATGGGAATAGAAGTCTGCAGGCTTCGCAGCCAAGCAGAGAGTGACAGGCGGTAGATGCAGGGCTGAGGAGCCACCTGGGGAGGCTAGTCTACTCCCCACAAGATGCAGAACTCCTGGCTTCACTACCCTGACTTCATTTTCGTTTTTTTCAATTTTTTTTTTTGTGTGTGAAATGCTCAAAACAAGACTTACTCATTTGATTTAAAATACCATACTTCATGCTTTTCGAAAGAGGAGAATGCCAACACAATCAATATCTATAAAATGATTTCTAAAAATCATTTGAAACAACCAAATCATCACTCTAAAACATGGAGAATCACTGGACAGTTTTTGTTGAATATGAGGTGATTGGCATAATTTTAGAAACAACCGAACAGATTTTTAAAGTAAGAATCATTACACAATTCCTTTTCATGGACAGGAAAGAAACTGTAAATCAGTTTAAGCACTAGCTGTTTACTTGAATTCCCTAGTCTGAAAAGGGAGCATTTTGATGAAGTAACAGATGCTACTGAACATTGCTGCAGCCACAGACAATCATTGGAGGGCTAAAGTGAAGGACCAGGCAAGCTGGGAGAATGGTGATAGCTGGTGACTGGCCAACAGAGGACACAGCAGGCCATGAGGAGAAACCAGTACAGACTGTGCCTTCTGAGTGGCTTTCATCACTCGTGTGGTGCCTGCCTTTTCTCATGGCGTGGCATAATTCATCTTTTTACTTCTCGAGAAAGTTATGATGAAATGAGATCAAGTTTATCCATGGGCAGAGTATTTGGTATTGTTACATCCACATTTAGTAGATGGTTAAATGAAAGATTAAAGTCCCGTGTTTAGCAGTGGCTGAGCTGGGGGCTCTGTGCAACTCACTCTGCTTCTCAGGTTTCCCCTGCCCAAGATGCTCCGTCCCAGCAAGGCCCGGTCTTATGTGGGAATGGGCAGAATCTCGTGGGCGCATAGACCCCTCTTGGTGCTGTGAACTGCATAAAGCAAGAGATGGTTGACTGTGTACAGTTGTTGGGTTGACAAGGAGGATGCTTGCCTAGGCCAGTGTCAGAGTTTAGACAAACTGGCTAACGTTTGTGGCCACCACCTCCAGGAAAATTTGTCCCTGTCCATTCTGGATAAATGCCTGCAAAGCCTTGGTCTCCAGGTGCCTTTGTTTTTCGAATCCCTGGGCGTGATAGGTGTTCCCATTACTGTGCTACCTGAATCCTCACTCTTCTACCTGAGTGTTGGGCTATTATGTTGTTCTTGGTTGGTCTTGAAGACTTTTATTCACATCTATAAGTGCTCTTTGAGTCTTTTGTGAAGATGGCAAATTTATACCATATATATGGGTTTTTCTGGTTTCATTTCTGCATGGTAACCTTATTTGTAACTCCTGGGAGTACTTGGCTTCCGTCTTTCTTCTACTAATGCAAGTGTTGTAAAAGCACAGGGAATAAACCAAAGATGAGGTCTCCATGCTAATGAAGTTGTGAGAATTCAGGTTGTGACTTTGAAGTAGAATAGTACCAAAATAACAAGTACTGTTCAAGCTGCAATCTGAGGAAACAATCTTGCTATTGCAATATCACCTTAATTTAAAAATTCCTAGAAATTTTGATTTAGATCTAATACTTTAGGAAAAATGTAAAACATAAATTTAACAAGGAACTAAAAATGTTGACAATTATCATTGCAAAGTACTTTTTCTTTTTATTCTCACTCCCATTTCCACAGAATGCCTTGCAGTCCTTCTCATAGGTACTGGTGACAGGTGCATGCACTCACTGGGGTTGTGTTTCTGCAGCACCGAGCACATCAGCATCACAGAGTTTGCAGCCTGGAGTACTTCTGAAATTTCCCAGAATGCTCTGATGTACTACAGTGGCAGGCTGTTCTGGATCAATGGCTTCAGGATGATCACGACTCAGGAAATCGGGCAGAGAACCAGTGTGTCTGTGTCGGAATCGGCCAAATTTAATCAGTTCACAATCATTCAGTCGTCCCTCAAGCCTCTGCCAAGTACAGTGCTTTATTCTTGCTCACTTCCTCTCTCCCACACCTTCTGTTAAATACACATTAGATTGGCATTTTCTTTCTTCAGAATGATGTTGTAAGAGGGAAAAGGTATTAGTAGGTTTTTTTTCCTGTACGGGGATCAAACTCGGAACCTTATGCATGTGAGGCGGTGGGGGTGGGGTGTGTGTGAGGGAAACCACTAAGCGAAAGCCCTGGCCCTGGTGTTAGTAGTAGTTTTATTGGCTTTTTTTGCAGCCAGCTTAATCTTAGCTCAAATTTACAGCCTGAAAAGCCAGAAGTGATTTTTAAAGGGGAGGAAAGCTTTTATTTCTAATTACTAGTAATTTCTGTTGCTCTCCCATGATTCTGTGCTAATCAATGGCCCTAAATTCCTTTTCCCTCTCTTTCTTTCTTTCATCCCACAGGGAACTTTTCCTCTACCCCTAATGTTATACCAGATTCTGTTCCAGAGTCTTCCTTTAGGACTGAAGGAAACGCTTCAGCCTTCCGAGTCCTGTGGAGCACTCCCCCTGCAGTGGACTGGGGTGTGGTTTTCTACAGCGTGGAATTCAGTGCTCACTCCAAGGTGTGGTGTTGGTTCTGGTCACTTCCATTCGGACACAATCTGTGCTGTCTGTGCCAGTCTTGCACACAGTGTGTGTGCCTTGTTCACTTAGTCAAGCCCTTCACTTCTGTTCTTCCATGGCATTTGGTTATCGGGGTTAACTTGTGCATAGCCCGTCTTGACCACTTTTTGCTGACTGCTACATTGGCATGCTATCACTGGTCTCAGACCTACCAAGAGTAGCCTTTCCAAAGTCTCAATTACTGACTCTACAAGAGAAGCAAAGTTTGGAGATGTTAGTTAATTAGGAATGAAAAGTATTAGAATTCTTCCCTAAACAAATGGTGTCTTGTGCTTATATTTTAGTTCCTGGCTAGTGAAAAACACCTTTTACCTGTATATACTGTGGAAGGGCTGGAGCCATATGCCTTATTTAATCTTTCTGTCACTCCTTATACCTACTGGGGAAAGGGCCCCAAAACATCTCTAGCACTTCGAGCACCTGAATCAGGTATGGGCTAAACTTCTCTTTCAAATAACAAGATGTAGAATCTTACTTTCCATGATCTGAAATGAATAGTCAATGATATTTAAAACTTTCACTTTTGTAGATATGCTTAGATTCACTACTCTTTCAGTAACTTTTTTGGAAATTAGAAGAACATTATTAAAATACATCTGCATAACTTATTCCAAAAGAAAAAAATTCCAAATATTTCTTAAAGGCTGTTTCTCATGTATCGTATGCATAAATATGTTTCAGGTACTTTGCAAACCTTTTGTAAGGAAATGAATAGTGAAAAGTAGAAATAATTTCTTAGAAAATGGGTGTTCATAAAGATGGTAATTTGGAATGTTCTGTGGATGAATAACTGCTGTTTTATGTCTTTATATTTTCTGTTTCTTGAAAATCTGTTTTAGAAAAGGTCTCATATGTACTGGCAACCAATGTGTGAACTCACTGGTATTGTCTTTCTAGCCATATTTTTACACATGTATGTCATACTGACCATACTTTTACATGTGTATGTTTAGTAACCATACACACTATCATTACTAGCCATATTTTATGTGTGTAACCATATTTTTACATTATATGTCAGTTTAAAGTGCACAGAGACATATATATCACTCTTTTAAATGTCTATTACACACCTACTATGTGTCCAAAATATCATTTTCTTTGTTCCTTACACAGCTGTGAGGTACATAGAACAGGTGTCAGTCTTGACTGTGCAAATGACAAAATGGAAGGAGCTATATTTGCCCATGAGAAATAACTACTAAGTAAAGGCCCTAATCTGGAATTTTCACTAAAGTTTCATTGAGTCTCTCATCATAAATGTGAGAGAATTATAGCTTTGTATTAATTTAACTTACACAAATTTCCTAACACAGGACTTGGCAGGCAGTGAAGGCTCAATAAACATAGACATTCATCCACCACTCTTTTTTTTTCTGTTTGATTCATTCAACAATATTTACCCTGGAGTTGCATAGCAGCAAACTAGAAGAACCTTGGCATGCTGTGAAGCAGGTCGTGTTTGGGTCCAGGTGTCCTCTCTCTTGGAGGCCATCAGTTTTGTGGTTCTGTTCTGTGGAAATGGATCGAATGCATCTACCAGGGGGTCCACCTCAGGCCCAGAGTTCTGTAAGGAAGGATGACAGGATTGGCCCTTACTTTCAAGATATTTACAATAAAGCAAGCAATTGTTCCAATCGACCACTATTTATTCAGCACTTACTGTGTGCCAGTCCTGTGCTAGATCTGGGAGAATTTCATAGGGAATAAGAAAAGATGCTTTCTGATGGAGCTCATAAAACAGCATGGAGGTGGACACACACCTCACAGAGATAAAAGACTGATAGCCAGACAGCGCTGATCCATAGTGAGTAGCCGCCGCCACTGCAAAACATTCACTATGTCCAGCTGCTTTGGGCTTCTTGGGAGAGGGAGATGGCAGGGATGGATATGGGAGTAGAAATGTTAGCTGGCTCTGTGGGATGCAGCCAGGACAAGCATCCCATGCAAGGAAAGTATAGAAGGCCCAGGGGTTGTATAAAGTGTGACTGTTGAGCACTGAGAAGCAATATGATTGGGATGGGAAGGTGTGGAGCCCTTGTGGAGGAGTCTAAGAAAGGAGAGGGTCGTCTAGGGCAGAGTGACTTGGAAACCAGGCAAGGAGATTCTCTTGACTAAAGGACTAAGAGATTGCACTGCTCAATCTGGTGCTCGCATAACGGGCCTCTGGACCCTATCCTTGAGAGCTCATCATTCTTCTCCACAACTTCCTGCTTCTTAGAGGCGAGGTGGATTCCCGGCATGCTCTACTTTACACCCGGAACTGGCTAAGGGCTGTTTGAAGTTACTTCTCCTGCTAAGGTCTGCTTTTCTGCCCTCCAGCTATCACTGTATGGGGATGTACTTCCAGAGGAGCACCAGCTACCACCTATCTCCACTGGGCACAGATAGGGAAGATGTGCTTCAGCAGTAGTAGAAGGGATTTGGGTAGGACCCAAAGTCATTAAGATTTGCTGAAATACCAAGATGGTTTCCTAAAAAAATCTACAGAATATTTTTTCTTGAAGAGATTCAAGACTGAGAGATTTACCTCAACATACTGTAATGAGGAATACTTACTGATAAGCTGTCCACATGCTGATTGTGAGTGGTAGAAGTTAGCTTTATGTTCTTTTTGGCTCTGTTTCTGCTTCTGTTTTGCAGTTCCATCTGCACCAGAAAACCCCAGAATATTTATATTACCAAGTGAAAGATCCCTCAACAAGAATGAAGTTGTGGTAGAGTTTAGGTGGGACAAACCTAAGCATGAAAATGGTGCGTTGATGAGCTTTGAGATTTTCTACCATATATCCAACCAAAGCAACACAAGCAGAGCATCCAAAGGCTGGATTGCTGTCAATGTCACTTCCTCAGTGACATCTTTTCAACTCCAGGGCATGAGTCCTGGATACACTGTTGCCTTCCAGGTATGAGTGAAAACTGGGATAAAGGAGTCTTAATAGTGCAACAGAAAGTTACTAAAGGACAAATTAAGAACTTCCTCTCTGTCAGTAGTTTAAGGCTCACTGTAATTGTGGGGTTAAGTGGGCAGCAAGAGAACACAGGAATGACACTTTGGGTGAAGGATCTCTTGACAGCTCCTTTGCATTAGGTCTATGTTTTAAATTCGGAGTAAAGCGATATTTGTCGAGGAGATCACTACAGGCCATGCAACACAGTCGGGACTCTTGTACTCATTTTCTTGTTTGATCCTCATACTGTGAAGAAAAACCCAGGTCCCTGGGTGTACCAGCCAATTAGCAAGCTGCACAACTAGGAAGAGATCTGCCATAGGCCAGCTTGTGGAGTTCTTCCCTCCATATCACAGCACCTCTTGAGTCCGCTGAAGGCCTGACTTGGATCTCCCAATGGAAATAAGAACCAGAAGCCTGCGTGATTGATGTGTCATCTCTTTACTGATAGGACAGAAAGAAAGAATAGCAGTCAGAAAGGAAATTGATTGATACTCCATTTTGATATTTTAAATTTTATATAAAATAACAACCCTCTTATAATTGAGGGCTTGATGATTTTCATATTCTCATCAAATACCATACTGCAGACAGTGTTGTATGTATTTACAGCCATTTTCCATTTATTTCAGGGGAAGTATTGTTTTGGAGATTTAAGTTTCCAATGGATGTTTTCATTTTCTTTTTGTAAAATTCCAACAGTTCTTTAATAATCTTTTAGGTCTACATATTCCAGTCAAAAAAGTTGTTCAAAAAGTTAAAGATAATACACATTCCTATTTGTTAAAAATATTGACTGTTCCTAAGGGTATCTGTCTATGTGTATGTTTCAGATTTGAGTCACCATAGACCCATGCAGTATAATACACATGAATACGTATGTTTCATTTCACATGGTCTTGTGCAAAATTGAAGATTGTTTGGTATACATATACACCACTGTAAATCACAAATATTAATTGATAGGATATTATAAAATGCATTTATAAATCATACACAAGTACTAATATATAGGATATCATAACATGCATTTAATCCCAAAAGTATAACAAAAATTACCCAATGTTTTGTTGAGAGAGTACTTGAAGCCCTGTAGTCTGAGGCTATCATTATGAGTGTCAGTTTTCTTTGCTGGCTATTTTGTATGTATGCAAGACTGGGGAATGGAAATGATTTATTACATAATAAAATATATTTAATTTAATAAAACCTTCCTATTAGGATGTGACATGCACAGTGAAAGAAAAGCGTAACACCTCAGGAGATGTGTTTCTATATGTGTCATTGTAGACAAGTTCCTTACTTTAATTATAATTCTGGTCCAGTTTCTACTCCTACTCATAATTTGTAGTTATGAGGATCAAAAGAGGTAATGCATGTGAAAATAGTTTGAATGCGTAATCATTTTTTTTTTTTTCTTGGTACTGAGGATTGAACTTTGGTCCTTGCGCTTGTGAGGCCGGCCACCGAACTGTTGAGCTAAATCCCCGGCCCATGCATAATCATTTTCGAATGTAAAGTTTACTATTTTTCTTTCTATAAATGTTCTTTAAAATATGATAAATTCATTTATTTAAAGTTTTTAGTTGTTGAATTCAAGAAAGTGGATGTTTACTATAATTTGTTCAGTTTCATATCTTTCAAATGTTCTATTTAACCTTAATTTATTGATTTTAAAGTGTTTACTTCACAAGTACAGATTGTGTATATCGAGATGTAAATGGTAATGATTTGGTATTTGTGTACATTTTATAACAATTATCACCATTAAATCAATCAATCCACCCATCACCACCTATTTTCCACATTAAATCCCCAGATGTTTTTAGAGATTGTTTTTGTTATTCAATACAAATCTGTGCCTTTTCAGCAGTTTTCTAGACCAAAAGCCCCAACATTGCGCATGTGGGACAGTATTTCCCCCTTAATTATCACTATACTTAGATAGTAATCAAGTATTTGAAACTGTTAATAGCATGTATCAGGCATGTGAAACAAGATACGCAAAATTTCTCAGTCTCAAAGCTAATTGCCCTGAGAATACTAATGAATTCATTTTTCTCCAATTATTTCCCTTTCTTTGCTTTAGGTTCAAGTCTACACATCCAAAGGCCCAGGGCCATTTTCTGATGTAGTGAAGTCTAAAACTTCAGGTATTTGTTATTCAAAAATTTGTACAAATAAAAACTTAAAAGCATCTTTTGAATGGTATCTTTAGGGATTCTAATTTCAACTCTGAGCTGAAGTTAAAGTCAAGTAAAATAATCAGTTTTTTTCATCACCAAAATGTGTTTAACAAACCCAGGATGCGAAGCTGAAGAGCTTCACCAAGGCTAAAAGAGTTGGACCCCATGGTGCCAATGGATTTCAAAACCACTTGATATTGACTCTGGATCTGAAGTCAGTTTGTTCATGCATATTATTTCTTTTTCATTTGCAGAAATCAACTCATTTCCTTACCTCATGTCTTTTCTTCAAAATGAGATAGTGCTCTTAGATATGGACCAAAATCAAGTTGTGTGGACATTTTTGGCAGAAGGAGACATCAACGCCTTAGGCTACACAGCTGACGATGACATGGGGTATTTTGCTCAAGGAGACTCCCTCTTCCTTCTGAACTTGCGCAACCGTTCCAGCTCCAAGGTACTTCAACTTTGTGATTCTTTTGAATTCAGGAAATAGAACATTTATGTATCATATTGTCCTGTAATTAAAATGCCTGGCCAATGGGTGAGCCCGGCTGTTAGAATGACTGAAGAGGATAGATGTTGTGTAATTATTTAGCTACAAATAAATGCAGAGTAGAATTTGGGCAAATTTTTCCAGGAAAATTTTGGAAGAGTTACTGGCACTGTTAGACTCTGGGGTACAGGAGTTCTTGAACTTTCTGCTGTGGGGATGGACACTAAGATCATCAGCTTGCAAAGACAAAGGTTTGTTTTGGCTCACAGTTCTGCAGGTCCCAATCTGTAGCTATTTGGCCTCATGGTCTTTGGGTCTGTGGCAAGGCCGCAGCCAATACTGGGAGTACATGGTGGTCGGAGCTGGCTCTCATGGCCAAGAAGTGAAAGCAAGAAAGAAGAAGTGGCCAGGGTCCTAGGCCCCCTGTGAAGGAACAAAGCTAATGACCAGAACACTGCCCACCAAGACTCACCACTTCCCAGTAATACCACTGGCTGGAACCAAATCCTTAACCCTTAACAAACACACAGGCCTTTGCAGGGTACTCCAGACCCAAGCTATAGCAAGAAGTGCTCTTACAAAGTGAGTCTGTGGAACACTGGGCTAGCAGGAAAGTGCTGTGGAACCTGACATCTGTGATTTATTGCAGACCTACCACTTACTAGGTCTTTGACCACCAGCAGGTTATTCAACATCTGTGGCTGAATAGTCCCTCATCCTGGGTTCCTGTGAAAGTTAAGTGAGATAATGGGTTAAAGCCAATGTCTGGCATAGGCTGGGCCCTCATTTCATTTCACCTAAAATGGATGGCAGATCAGTATAGCTGCCATGCTAGAGCAAGGTGTGGGGAATCTCAGGACACGAGCAGCAGCCCAGGTGAGTGATGGTGGTGGCAGAATGGAAAAACATCTTTGTCTCAAAGATGAGCCAGGGAACAGGAAGAGGCAGGAGCAGGGCAAAGGCAGGGGAACCTGGAGCCAGAGCTACTCAGGGGCTGTGACTAGAGGGAGTCTGGTAGGAGGTGTGAAAGGCAGCAGGTAGGAAAGCTGGGCAGGGCTGCAGGAGCCCAAATATAAGGGACCTCCTTTACCTGCCAGGGAACCAGGTGTTCACCCGGAAGCCAACAGCAAGCCATTGAAGACATTTAGTAGGTCCTTAACACAATCAGTCTGCATTGTAGAACGACCTCTGTGTCAGCAGTATGCGTGATGACTTAGGCCTACATCTGCAGGAGGCTACTGAAGAAATTCAGTAGGAAACAGTAAGGCAGGAGACAGGTGTCAGGCAGAGAGGCAAGAAAGCAGGGAACAAACTGGGAGAGACACTTAAAATGAGAGCAGCTCTGTAGATACAGTGCCGTGAGGAAAGAAGCCAAGGGGACACCTTGGTCAGGTGACTAGATACCCATAAAATACAACATACAAGAGGATAGGCGGTGCTGGGGTAGGGTGGTGGGTCATTGAACAGAGAAGTTCTACCGGAAGTCTGCTTTTGAATCAGTACCTCTGTGAGGGGCCTTGTCTGAAGATAGGGATTGTTAGCTCTGGTACACGGATTATCACTGAAGCCATTGGAGATGAAATTGTCTGGTAACACACACAGTGTGAGAAGAAGGCTCATGTCACAATGGTACACAACCCAGAGCTGCTGGGGCTTTGGATTACAAAGGTGAAATGCAGTAGATGCTTGATATGAGTAATCACAGAACAGTCTTCAAATTTAAAAAGTAACCCTATTTTGGTGGCCGTGTTCTCTGCTTAATGCTAAGCTTTTCCGAGATGCACGCATTTCCAGCGTCACACTAATTGCAGTCAACTGGGTTTCGAGGCACCTCTACTTTGTGCTGAAAGAATCTCAAAACAGAACACAAATATTTGATGTTGATCTTGAATGCAAGGTGAAACGCCCCAGTGAACTGAAGATTTGTAACAGGAATTCAACAATAGTTTCTTTTTCTGTGTATCCACTTTTAAGGTACGTAAATGTATCCTTTTCTAACATGATGAAATAGACATAGGAGCATTTAATGTAATATTTTTGGCTTAACTTTAAAAGCCAAGTGTGGGAAAGGAAAAAGCTTTGGTTATCATATTAACTTATAATAAGTAATTCTGCATATAAATTGTGAGCCCACAACCACAAATATGAAATCTTAATCCATGCTGATGATTTGACTACCCTAAAGTTAGGCCAATTACAGAGAGGAAGCCAATAACAGATTTTTATATTAATGAATTTAATAATATTGTCAGTTGGTAGGGAGAAGACAGGCACTGAGACAGGGAAGGGAATGGGCAGCAGGTTTTGCTCAGAAAAAAAAGCTATTCTGGGCTCAGTTGCCTTGGTTTAATTAACAATTAAATTATTATCCTTATGAGATGGATTTTAAGGCCTCCACTCAGCAACTGAATAGCAGTTTCCCAGCCTGGAAATATTTTTATTCATGTCATAAGCCTGGATATAAGCTATTGGAAGCTAGATTGTTAGCTAGCATTCAGAACAGAAACAGAGGGGAGGAAGAGAAAGGAGATGGATTCAACAAAAGTGTGCAAGTCCGTTTCTGATTTACAGCCGGCAGGGGCCATGGAAGGTGCCCGGGCGGTGAGCACTAAGGTTGTTATAGTCCAAGGCTTTTACTTGTAAACATGTTTGCTAACAAACTGCTGCAAAATGAGTTAGACTTCTCGTGACTTCCTCTATTTCTGAAAGTTACTGGAGACTTGGACATGTTCTTTCTCAGAGATGCGTTTGTCCCCCAATCATTACAGTGATTTATTTTCATTAGAAACTAATATATTTGCTCATTAAGCTAGTGGAACTTTTTCCTCTCTCTCCAGTCGTTTATATTGGACAGAAGTTTCTGATCTGGGCTATCAGATGTCGTACTACAGTATTAGCAATCACACCTTGCATCACATTCTGAAACCCACAGCCACAAACCAACCAGATGGAAGGAGCCGATGTTCTTGCAATGTGACTGAATCTGACTTAAGTGGAACAATGACTATTGATACTTGTGACCTAGAGAAGCCATGGATATATTTTGCCAAAGGTCAAGAGATCTGGGCCATGGATCTGGACGGGTGCCAGTGCTGGAGAGTTATCGTGGTGCCTGCTTTGTGGGGTAAGACACCTGCATGTGTGTGTGTGTCTTCATTAGTGACAAACAGCCTCGCCTGTCCCTTTATGAGGGGCTGGTTTTCTACGTATACTAAAAGGAATATGTGCTTAGTGTTTGCTTTGGACTATGCCGAATGCTGTGGTAGAATTCAAATCAAGTTATTTCTAGGTGAGTTGTATGTGGACATTCACAAAATTCTCCACCTGTGTCGTTTAAAATTTGTAATTAACACCAGAGCTACAATTTAATGAATTTAACTCTATACTCTCTGCATCCTACTCAGTACATTATCTCATGTAATCTTCAGAATAGCTCATTGAGGTGGGTATTTATATCCTCATTCTACAATAGGAAAACTGACATTGAGAAGGGCAGTAACTTGCTTAAAAGGCCAAGTTAGTTGACGAACTGGAACTGAAGCTAACTACATATACGTGATCTAACCAGTAGAGTGGTTCGTTTCCACTCTGATGACCCCATGGACTGCACTTTCAGCATGGGCTAGCCAATGCTTGGAAGGTCTGCCTCTTGAAATTCATATGCTTGCGGATGAAATGATTTGGAGGTCAGCTGCTTAGGAGTCAGTTGTTCCAACAGGAAAAGACACTCTCTGAACACCCCATGTACACTCCCGACAGTTCATACCTCACCGTCCCATATGGCAGTCCCTAGTCAGTCACATGCTATGATTTAAATTTAAATGAATTAAAATTGAATTAAACATTTACTCCATCAGTCATGCTGGCCACATTCAAGTGCTCAAAAGCCCGAAGCCGCAAAGGCTCAATGGCCACTGCACTGGGTAACAGAGCTGTAAGACATTTCTCCATCTTGATGATCATAGGCAATTCCTCTTCCCTGCCCTTGGAGCTCTTGGCCTGCCTGTCAGGCTGCTTTAACAAGACTCCCCCTCCTTGCGGTCTCCCCTTAGTAACTTCCCACCCACGAAGTCCTTCACTGCGCTCCCGTCTGTCACCCCCCAAGTGTCTTTCTTCTACTACAGCATCCATCTTCCCTGCTGCCACATGCACTAGTCTCAAGTGTAAGAATAGGTTTAAAAACGTTTGCTATACAAGAATTACCTAGTGAGCCCTTATCGTATGGATGTGGAACTGGTCAGTCTTTGATAAATCCATAATTGAAACACATAATCCTTAAATTAAAAAATCAGAATGACGTTAGAGATTATTTAACTCAACGATTTTGGGAGAAATCCTTTCATCCCTTTTATTTATTAAAAGGTAGTCAGTACTTCGTAAGGATGTCTGTATAATTTTTAGATAACTTTGAATATCAGATATTTTTATTTTATTTAAATATTTTCTCTCCATTCCTCTCAGTCATTGGCCTCATTTATGACCTCTAAGTTAGTAAAGAATATGTTAATCATCTTCCATATGACAGCCATGCAATCATGTAGAGACGGGTGTTGTAGGCCTTCTACATTTTATTTAGAAGAGAAATTCAGGTCATCTGTGACTAACTCTCAGCTAATGTGTCTTCTAGACTTTTCCTTGTGTCAGTCACCTCTCTTCCACTCTAGCTGGTTATTACCTGTCAGTGCTGTGCTCTCCATATGTTCTGCTTGCTGCAGGGCAGATGCTGCTTCCTAGGTTTCTTCACTGTAACTAAAAGTACCAGCAGATCTTGGGGCTGCCTATCAGCTGAAGCACCCACAGTCTTACTTCTCATGAAATATTATTAAGCCAAATGTGTTTTACTTACTAATTTATATAATTGATTTTAAACCTGAATTTAGGATTCCATTTGTTTCTATTAAATTTCAATCCATTTCCCGATTTTGTTGTGGTATGTTTAAATTTCAAGGCTATCGGTGACCTGCTTGTGACGGTGATAATCATTTATTATCTACAAATTTGATAAATGTGTTCGCCATTCATTCTAAACCAACAGTGAAAACATTCAGCAAGACACTTGGTCCTTCTCAGTCGTCTGCTGTGGATGGGTTGGCATTGTTGGCCTTGGGTTACACAGTCTGAGTTTTTAATCCTGGATCTGCCCTTAGCTAACTATGTGGCCTTAAGTAGACTTTTTTTTTTTTTTTTTTTTTT